TTGTCTTTTTGAAACAGGGTTTCCCTGTAGCCCCAGCTGTCCTGGAACTCACTATGTAGACCAGGCTGGCCTTGAACTCACAGAGATCTGCCTGCCTCTGCCTCCTGAGTGCTGGGATTAAAGGCGTGCACCACCATGCCCAGCTTCTCTAGGTTGCTTTTTATTACAACATTCTATCACAGCAATGGCCCCAGACCAAAGGCCAGAAGGAAATGTGACACTCTCTGACCTCTGTTCCTAATCCCCTAGGTCCAAACCAGAGCACTGGGAGGCGCTAGTTCTTCTAGAAGGTCTGGTTCAGGTATCAGCTCATGGGTTTGGGTCCTTTCCTCACCTAGCCAGAAGAACACCGCTGGCCCCTTCCTTCCCATGGCACCTCTTCCAGCTCCTTCCCTGGGCCAGCTGCTCTACTTTCCCTGGGGGCTCCTCTCCTAACCAGGACACAAGCTCCCTAGTAGAGCTCAGAACTCAATAGCTTTATGTCCATCTCAGAGTCCAAGAAAATGCATAAAATCCTTCTTGCTCACTTGAGGCCCGTGCACATTCCCTCTGCTTTCAGCTTCTCCCATTTCACTGTGGCACTGTGGACTTCAACACGCTCTCCAGCTCCAAGATCAGAAGCCTCTTCAGGAATGCCCCACAACATAACCCAACAACATACTTGGTTGGGTCTCCCCACACACCCAAGCCTTCATCATGTAGACTCTTCCTTCCCAGCACTTAACACGCTTGTCATTTTATATATATAATTAAGCCAGTATCTGTTGGGGGGGGGGTTGGCGTTCTCCTCACTTCCTGATGATCCCAAACCCACAGATGCTCAAGTCCACAGAACAGACATCCTCTGCAGTTTAGACCACTCATAGATGACTTATAGTACCTGACACAGAGGACATAGTGTGTATATAGCTGCAGTATGTGCTGAGGAATGACAAGAATAAAGTCTGTACATGTTCACTACAGATATTTTCAACCCACAGTTGGTCGGCTCCATGGATATGAAACGTGAATGTGTAGAGGACCAGTTCCTACTCAGTGGCCATTTCCCTCCAGAATCCAGTTCTTGAGGATGGGACACCTACGAGGGCAGTGATCTTTTCTGCTCTGTGCACGACTGCATCTCTTGTGCCCAACATGGTGCCTGGCACATAGGCTATTTGCTGAGTGGATGGACAAAATGAAATATGAAACACTGAGGACAATTCAACTAAGAACAACTTTTAGGGAAGAAGGCAACTTTACAATGCAAATTTTATGGGCAAAATAGAATCACTTGCTTTTTTATTTTATTATTTTTTTTAAACAAATGAAACAAGAAGGTTTTAGCAAATGGCATGGTTCATAGGTTGAAGGGTTATGGGAGTTATAAGGAGTGAGAGCAGGGGAACCAGGCCTTTAAACATAAATTCAAATATGGGAGGATCTAATACACTGAGCTTCTGTATTCTGGACACTATGAAGCAGCCTGGCAAGAGCCCCACATGTATCAGAACTGTCTCAGGGCCTCCCTGACCTCATGTGGCACGAATGCATCTCCTGCATTCGTGGGAGGGAGAGCAGGTGCTCCCTCTGTGGAAATGCTGGTTAGGAAAGAATTTTGAAGCAGGTCCCACAGACCTTTACCCCGGAGAATCTTCCACGTTGAAGTGTCTGTGAAGGTGACAAGCATGGTGAGGTACAGAGTGATGAGTCTGGAGTCTTGTAAGATTTCTGGCTGTAGACAATGAGGGGAACAAGATTAGCGCCAGCCCATAATCCCACTCAGAGGTCCACTTCCTCTCCACCTCCTCTCTGCAGACACTTAGGGATCAACACAATGCATTCTAGACTTTCAGGACATTAGTGCTTAACCATGGGATCAAATGTTGCTTGGAATGGGAGCTGGGCGTTCTTAGGAAATAGGATCCCAGGCTGGCTTGCCATCTGTGCCTTCAGCTGTCCATATGTTGGACATCGACAACATGGCAGTGACAGAGTAGAAATGCAACAAAACTAATAAGGACTCGGGGCTCCACCTATTGGCTCTCGCTCACTAGCTATGTGATCTAGGACAAGTTTCATAACCTCTCTGTGCCTTGGTTTCCTTATCTGCCAACTAAGGATGTCAACACTGCTTTTCTCAAAGGGTTTCGCAAGGAATAAATGGGTTGATACACACAGAGCACCAAGAATAGTGTCCGGCACACAGTTAATTCCAGGTACTGTCTGTTACTGCTGTTTTTGATGACTTTGAGGTTTGCAATAGTGAGCAGGGCAAAAGGCCTGACTGCTTCCTAGGAGAAGAGACCCTATAGCACATTCAGCTAGAAGGGACCTCGGAGATCACCAACTTCAAATCCCTACGCAAAGGGAATGAGAGTGAAGCAACGTGTTCAGGAACATGTGGGACCAGATCTCAGATCCTCTGGTCAGTGTGCTTATCGAGCACCTACTTCTGTACAGAAACTCTCTTTAGGTTTGCAAAGTACAAGGGCCTCATGTGAAAGAGAAATCCATCATGGGATGCAAACAGAAAGTGGGTCAGAGACTCTGCCTGGCTCAAGGGAAGGTAGAGGAGCAACTTGCTTTTGGCTCCACCTTGCCTGGCTGCCCAAGGCACTTTGCTGAGATCTGAGCTTCAAGGACAGGGTGTAAGTGAAGACCATGGGTCTGCGAACATTTAAAAACAAATTATTTTTATTTTATGTATATGAGTGTTTTGCCTGCAAGTACATAAGTGCACCTGTGTGTATAATGCTTATCTCCTGGAACTGGACCTATAGCTGATCATTAGTCTCCATGTGGGTGCTGGGAACCAAACCTGGGTCCTCTGTAAGCGCAGCAGTGCTCTTTACCCCTAAGCCAGCTCTGCAGCCAGATGGCTGTGTGTTTTAACACCTCACTTGATAAGCTACACAGTGTGTGGCTTGCTGCTGGCTCATTGCCTTGACAGGGCTGTGCAAGAGTCATCCATCAGCATCAGCGCCTTAACAGGGATCTTTGGGAATGGCTAGCTGGGGGCTTTGAGGACACCTGCGTCACCATTCCCCTTGCAATCCAATTCCTGAGACCTCTTGTTCCCCATGCTCACTGTGTCTGCTCACACTCAGTCCACCTTTGCACAACACAAGGGTGGTTATTAGACCAGGCTGGGTCATCAGGATGGGTTCAGGGCTGAGGTTAGGACCATACTGGACCTTCAAGAGTCCTCCTGGATTTCTGAGCTAGGAAGGGAGGCCTCTTTTTGTCCTCTGTGGTCAACATAGGGTAAGGGTGTGATGTTGGAACTGCTGGCTGTGTAATTACAGAAGAAGGGCTGTGCCCCAAAAAGAAAAGAGACAAAAAGAACCAGGAGACCCAGAAGTCCCTGGCTGCAGTCATCGCTAGCTGCCATGTTTTAGATACATTCTAAAACAAAAATCTGTTTCTTGAGCAGCCTGTATGCATTAGATATGCTTACATTGGGCTCTGTATGTTTCTTTAATAAGAGGCCTGATTAGCTCAATATAGAACATTAAAAAAAATCATTATATCAAGAGAATGGGAAGGAAGACAGTTTCCTGTTTTTGTTTTTGGGCTGGGAGTTATTTGTGTATTCATAGTATATGGGGACATTTGGTATGCCGGTGAACCCATTCACCTGCTTGGGAAGGCCAGAGGAAAATATTGAGGGTCTTCCACATAGCTCTCTCCCCCTTATTTTTTGAGATAGTCTCTCTCACTGAACCTGAAACTTGTCATTTTGGCTAAGCTGACTGGCTAATAGTTCCTGGGATTCACCTGTCTCTGCCTCTTATTGCTGGGGTTATAGGCATATGTGGCCATGCCCAGCTTTTGCATGAGTGTTGGGGATTCAAGTTCAGGGTACAAATAATGAGGAAACCATGGGGACTCGAAAATATGCACTGAGAAGCCAGATGAGGCTCCTATCTCTCTCTCCCCCTTATTTTTTGAGATAGTATCTCTCACTGAACCTGAAGCTTGTCATTTGATGGTTTGGGTTTGGAGGGGGATGGTTTACCTTGAGCTGTTCAAGAAACTCACAGCAATGCCACAGGATGCCCTTGATCTGTTTAATCCACAGGAGAGTGAGATCCTTGGAAAGAGCCAGGGACACGTACCATACCTACAGGCAGGAAAATGGAAGAGTGATGGGCAGTCACAGGGGCCATACTACATATGATCCAACTGTTGGAACCAGACCTGTTGAACAGGACCTTTCACAACCAAAAACACAAATCCTCGAGAGCTTGTGGAAGACTTCTTAGCTCCTGACCCGCTTACCTTTGGCTCATTCTCAGCATCCATGCTGCTCAAGATGTAACGGCACAATTTCTCCAATCTCTGCAGAGGTAGGAAGGTGGATATAAATTCCCCAAATTAATCAAAGTGTGGGAAAGAGGGGCACACACATTTCGCGGGTATCTGGCATGCACAGGCAACATGCCAGATGATTTACATATATACAATCATATTTAATTCCTCAGAGATGTGGAAACTGCGGATCACAAGACTACAGACAGACTCTCAAGCTGGTGGCCTATAGGATTCATGACCCCTATAGATATGCTCGGTCTCTTGGCTGTCACTTTTCCTAGCTGTGGGGCAAAGGTTTCTTTTGGAAAACCAAATCCACTTGGAAAACTGGGCTCAGATTCCCAAAGGTTAGTGGACGCTGTCTAACTTGTGCTCTGTACTCAGTTACACTGACCTCTGTATTATAGCGACTGGCTGAAGGCTGTTCAATCATCATGTTTATCCTGATATGCAAATGGAAGAAAAACCAGCTACACTTAAAGGGTGTGGAGCCACAATTTTCTCCTCTAGAGTGGGGTTGCCACCCCCAGCTTGCTTGTCCTCATCTCTCTGACAGTGTGTATTCCTCCTTTTGCTGCTAGGCTTGGCATTCCATGAGGGTGGAGACCTTGCCTCTTTGGTTTCCTTTTGGGGCCTCCTCAGCGGTAACCTTAGCAAGATTATAGACACCTGTTGCTTCCCTGGTATTGTTTTCCAGGCCAATCATTGCCAAAGGAGCAAAGTGGTGTGTTTTGTTTTTAGGATGGTTTAAAAAAAATTAAAAAATAAATGAACCACTAATGTCTACAAATCAGAACATTAAGAATAAAGAGGCAGGCTTCCAGCACCTCTTTCAAAATTTGGAGTCTGGGTCCATCACTGGGGGCAGCTAGCAGCACTGCCCGCTTAGACAAGAGCAGGAAGCAGAGCCGACTGATAGCCTCACTACTGCAGCTGAGCACTTGCTGATTACTGATCCCGTATCCCACTGTGGCTGTCTCTACCTATCTTTCATTCATGTCCCACAGCTTCCTGGCCCTTATACGCATCTGAGTACAACTTGTGCTTCTAACAATGTGAGGAGACCCCAGAAGCAGGAACCAAGAAAGCAGGAGCAGGCTGTGGGCAAACTCTACCTGGTGCCGGTGCCTTAAGGACAAAAGGATCAGTGCTGACCAAACATGAAAGCTTGGCACATGGAAAGGAGAGCCATCACTGTTATTTACCTCGCTATCTTCTTTAGTTTTGAATAAGAATAGCAGTTTCCTGGCAATCTTAAAAATACAAAGTGCGCTTCTTTTACTGGACCCAGAGTCATCTGTGTTAAAAAACTCATCAATTTCTCTCCTAGAGGGAAGGGTAAAAAAGACGTTTTTAATTAGAGGTTCACAGCACCTGGAAGGCTTCTCCAGCACTGTCAGGGGAAACCCATTTGTTTTCTATTAATCAGGAGCAAAAGGAAATGTGCCAAGGAGTTGGGCTCCCACCTGATGGCTCTCTGCAGTTGTCTCCGGCAGAGGAAACTGCGGACAAGGGCTTGTATCTCCACAGCCGCACGCTCCCGCTCCTTCTGCACCAGCCTCTCTTCTCGTGCCTGCCGGGCTCTGTCAATGAACCATGCTCTGGAGGTCTGAGATACGGTGAACATTTTTGCAAACTGACACAAACCCTTCAAGGAAAACAGGAGTGGCTGTAGATCATGGTGTGGAATACACAGACAGGCAGGGGCTTGAGGGCAAAGGGCAGACAGGACCTGGGCAGCAGCAGCGGATGTTTAGCAGCCCCCAGAAACCTCAGTGTTCACAGCTCTCCTAGCCATAGTCCCAACTTCTCCTGACTTCCTACCAGTTCCTTTCGTGCCATTCACTGAGACCAGAGATGCTACTGCTATATAAAATAATAGCATTTTCTAAAGAGAAAGAGCAGATATCACAGAGATCCACCTGTCTCTGCCTCCTGAGTTCTGGGGTTAAAGGCATGTACCACCACATCCAGCACACCAGTCCTTTTTAAAAAATTGCTATTGTGTATGTGCATGATATGTGTGTGGGCATATGTGCAATAGCACAAGTGTGGAATCAGAGGAAAACGCTGAGGAGCCAGTTCTCTCCCTCCACTTTGATGTGGGTTTGTGGAATCAAACTCAGATCTTCAGACTTGTGGAACAAGTGCCTCTGCCCACAGAGCCATCTTGCTGGTCCAAGATCTTTTTTTAAAAAAATTACATTTATTTTTATTTTGTGTGTAGATATAAGTGTATGCATGTGGGTATCTATGTACAACAGTATGCATGTAGAGATCAAAGGACAAATTGCAAGAGTTGGTTCTCTCCTTCTACCATGTGGGTCTCAGGGAGATTGAACTCCAGTTGTCAAATTTCATGGCAGAGCTTTTATACCCGCTGTTAAGTAGCTGTGTGTGTGTGTGTGTGTGTGTGTGTGTGTGTGTGTGTGTCTGCTGTATCATATGGAGGTCTGAAGTTGATGTGATGTGTTCTGTCTGTAACTCTAGTTCCAGGGGCAGGCAAAACACTCATACAAATAAAAAGCTGAGATCACTATTTATTGGGGCAGGGTCTCTCGCTTGAATTCAGAGCTCCACAATCAGCTAGTCTACCTAGCCAGTTTTCCCTTGGGGAATCCCATTTCTGCCTAGATTATAGGTGACTCCCACACCTGCCTGCCTTTTATGTGGGTTCTGAATTCTGGTCCTTGTGCTTGTGTGGCAAGCGCTTTACCCATTGAGCTATCTCCCCACCCTTAAGTAGCCATTTTAACACTAAAAAAGCAAAAAGTACTGTACATGTTTTCTATACTTGTGTTAGTCCATTAATTTGCATAGGTGATGTTACATATCACTTACTCTGCTGTCCTTACTGTTACCACACTGCCAAGGACTGATGAAGACCCACAGTAGAACTGGCCTCACCACTGGCAGGCACTTTGCTGGGGAGAGGCTGTACACTGTACTGTACCTGATCACTAGTAATTGTCTTACCCCAAAGGGTAGCTTTGGCTAAAAGCCAAGAGTACAAAGCATTGCTCTCCTGGGCCTCCTACCTGGGTTATTTCTTTACCAGCTTCATAACTTTGTCATTTTATTTACAATACACGATCACCCAGGCTGAGCAAAACATGGAAATGGATTACTTAGAAATTTAGTCTTTTGGGAAAGCGTTCTTTCACTAGGCTAATTCCCTTAAAGCAGTACCCATTGCAAAATACCTCTGGAATAAAAAGTTCATACTAGGTTCCTGCCACAAGAACATATCCAGGGATCTCTGCAGCCCCTTCCCCAACACCAGCTCATATCTGCCAAAAGATACCAGGGGTTTATTTGCCAACATGCTGGCCTAACATCAGGAATACTCAAGAAAACAATGGCTTGGGCAGTGTTAGGTACCAAACCCATGTCTCTGAACATGCCAAACACACTACCACCAAGTTACACTAACAGCCTCATCAGCAATTCCTGAACCAGATTAGAATAGCTTGTCTAACCCCAGGGAGGGTAAGAAGACTTGGGGGACAAAGGCAGCTGCCTTCTCAACTTTCCCTCTTCCTGCAGTTTCGAGAGCTCACCTGAGGACCTGCGTAGACAGCAGAGATGCTAAGTGACCATCAGGGACCTTGTGCTGCCTCTCACTTCACAGGAATTGGTTTTTCTGGCAGAGGAAGAAAGGGAATTCAGAATTTGAGTTGTTTTATAGGTGTGGTATCATAATGCTCCTGAGTCATGGTTTTAAAAAACCCTCTAAGTCCCTTTCAGTTAACTTTTTTAAATGTCAGACTGTGTCTCAAAAGAAACTCTTAGAGGAGCTGGAGACTGCACTTGCAGAGGATCTGGGTTTGATTCCCAGCACCCACGTGGTGGCTAACAACCATGTGTGACTCCAGTTCGAGGGGATCTGACACAAAAAATAAAAAAACTCTTAAGAGGTCACAGAATGTCAAAAAGTCAAAAATAAGGGTTCCCATTTTTCAGTGCTTTGGAAAAGTGTGCTTTAAAAGTGAAAAAAAAATGGCTGCCTGTGAACCAACAGAATCTCAATTACCCAACAGAAAGGAAAAATTAATGTGCATATAGACTCTATACTGCAGTGAAACAGGTTAAGTGTGGCTAACTGTGAGGGGGTGGGGTGTATGTCTGATGCCCAGCAAAGGCAAAGTAAAAGGTAAAAAACAAAACAAAGTAGCCATTTTGGTGGTAGGACTGTGGGATACTTTATTTTTTTTTTTCACTTTTCCACTGAAAGCACAAAGTAAGGTGCATCTGAGGAAGCACAGTGCTTGAGTCACAAGGAGCTGGAGCCAGTCCCAGGCTCTGTCAGGGTCACCGGGAAGGAGTCTCAGACCTGTGTTTGAGAACTGGCTCAAGAGGCCTGAGGCTGGTACAGGAAGATTCTGTTGAGATGCTAACAGAGCACTCACTAAGCCAAAGGGATGCATTATTTTTAAGGACACAGAGGCGGTTTTTTAACTTTTTCCCATCTGCATAGCCACTAAGGTTCTTTAGGTAAGAAGTATTGCTAGCTCCCTGAACTCTCTCATCCATTAAGTTATTTCCCTATTCTTGGGGCTGGGAAGATGGCTCAGTGGTTAAGAGCACTGGCTGCTCTGGCAGAGGACCCAGGTTCGGTTCTCAGCACCCACAGAGTGGCTAACAACCGTCTGTAACTCCAGTTCCAGGGGATCTGACACCCTCTTCTGGCCTCTGCATGACACCAATGCCTTTATACGCAGGCAAAACACTCATACACCTATTCTCAAATGAACTAAAATTTGCTGGTCCCAGCACTTGAGACATGAACCCCTGTGAACATGTTCAAGCTCCTGGGAGGTGAAAGAAAGCAGGGCTCAAGCCATAAACACAATCTTTCCTTAAGATGTCCCTATTAGTAGGCAGGACAGGGAATGAGAAGGAGAGGGAACCTCTTTTTATTGGAAAATCAAATGGTTGCATGCAAACTGTACCCAAGTGTTTGTGCAGCTAAACTTTCCTTCTCCCAAGGGATCTCCTAGATGCGATCCCTTTCTTGGGATTATCACCCCTCAGTGGTGTTTTATGCTGGCTTCTGTTTACTCAGCACAACAGTCTATGCTGTGCGGTTTTCTTCACTCTCTGCTGCATACCTCCTCCGCTTGCACAGTTGTTAAACAGGACACAGAACTAAGTATTAAGTCCTTATTTTGCTGCATGCCACAGAGAGTCAGAGAAAGGACTGTGTAGCAAAAAGACATCAGATCAGAGACAGTAACCCTTGGGTCCATTAAGTCTTGATTCTACCGCTCATTCCAATTATTTACTCCAGGCCTCAGTTTCCTTATCTGTAAATTGAGGATAATAGTACTCACAGCCTAGAGTTGCTAAAAGGATGGACCGTTTACCATTCTTAACCCCAATTTAATCACTGCAGTGTTGTGATTAGGAATGAACAGGGAAATACTAACAACATGTATTTGAAAGTATTAGCATCTAAGCAAGCCTTACTGCATTGTCCTTACCAAGTCCACAGTCTGGTTAGGGAAATAAGAATTATATAGGTAGAAAGATTAGAAAACAAGAGGCTGGTGGTGACCCAGATCATCTGGAAAGGAAAATAAACGGAGTGTCCCTTAGGCGTCTCATTTAATAAGGGCAGAAACACCATGAAACGATCAATTCTTTCTTTCTTCAGTCCAGGTTGAACTCTTACCAAGTGGCAGCACCCAACTCTCAATGCTAACTGACAGGACACAGATATAACCTTTCTATAGTCCCATAGATATGCTTAAAATCAATCTTTTTTGGATGACGCCAAACAACACCACCACAGTCCAAACAGTAGTATCTTGCACTATAAAGTAAGATACATACAAGCTGAGTTTCCTGTATGGTCGGAGTAGATGGGTGGCCAGACTTAATGACCACCACCTGTTAAAGAGCAGACTACATAACAGACATAGCATGTACAGATATTTAACTGGCCCTGTCTTTTCAACAGCTGTATCCTATGAGGCTACAATACTGGAATGTTTTTAAATTCAAGAATAGGCAATAGGTCTTAGAGAAGCCATTAATAATAGTAGTTATCACTTAGAGAAAGCCACAGCTAAATAGATCTTATCAATCCCATCTTCACATGGGGAAATGAAATGATGGGGCACCACTTTCCAGAGTCCTCAGGGTCCCTGAAGCTGAACCTCAAAGCAATTTGACAGACAAGATCCAAGATTCCCCCATACACAGAACAGCATAACAAGGAGACGCCCAGAAGGCAATCCTGCCTTGCGGCAACGCTGAAACCAAATTATGAACAAGTTTTCTTTATCAAGAGTTGAGTGTCAGGCAGCAAACTGAAATGTACTACAAAATACTCTGTGAAGCATTCTAATTATCTCCATTTTACAGAGGAGGAAAATGGGGGTCAGAGAGGTGACTGGATTCATCCAAGGTCACACAGCGAGCTAAGAGGACTCAATTCCAGTTTAGGTGACTCCTGAGGCCCAACGCCTTCCCGGGTATCAATATCAACAACCATAATAACAAATCCTTTTGGCCCAGAATTAGTCGGTTATTAAAACCTTATGCCTCAAAGGCAAAAATTGGCGGAACGGGCCAGGAAGGGATCCCTGTAGCTGGACTATCAGCTCCCAGACCCTGCCCCTCTGACTTCTCCAAGCCGGGGCTCGGCCCCAGGAAACCTGCCTCGGCCCCCAGCCCCGCCACTCAGAGAATCGCCGACCGGATCCCACTCGCTACCCGGAGGCCGGAGATCTTTATCCGCTTGAGGCCCCGGCGCTCGGGGTCCGGGCCGCAGCTGACGTCGCCTCAACCCGACACCCCTGATTAGGACCAAACCTGGAGCAGCGGCCGAAGGCCGGCCACCATCTTGCCCCGGGTGTTGCTCTCCGAATTCCGCTAGGAAACAAGTATCCGGTTCCGGGAAACAACAGTTCCGCTCGGCTTCTTTGTCCGGTAAAGGAAACCTGTCCTGCATCGTGTCCTCCTCTCTGGCAGAAGAAAATGAGAAACATCCAGGAGTGGGCTAAACGCCTGACCCAGCTGAGGGGAGGCGGAACCCATCCCGAACAGACTCTGGGCGGAAAGGACTGCCAGTCTAGGACTACAGCGGACCCTTTATGAAGCGTCCCGGTGCGGGCGGAAATGGGATGTGGACAGCGGAAGTGCCCGCCCGGGCCCCGCCTCCGCCCCCGGCTTGAGTAAGCTGGGTGTTTCCTGCCTCTCAGTCCGGATTTGGAGACTCCGGCGTCCTCCGACTTTTCATGGTGAGGAGGGCGGCTCCCACGGTCGGGGGCTCCGGGTTCTCGAGGGTGGCGGGCGGTGGCTGGGCCGAGGGCAAGGGACCTCGGACCGGGCGCGAGGAACGGCAAGCGCAGTAGTGGAGGGGCGCTGGGGATCACATGGGATCGGGATCCGGGCGGGGGAAGGGCTCCGGGGGAAGAACTGGGGGTCCGGGGCTGTTGAGGACCTCGGGAGGAGGATTTGAATCCAGGAGGAGTAGATGTGTTGGGGCGTGAGTGGTTAGGTTCTGAGTCTTGAACGCTTGTATGGGAGTTGGAAGATTGTGAGAACAAAGAGATGTCATCGAAAACAGACGCTGAGGTGGAAATGAGGATTTGGAGGCGTGTGGAGAGTGGTAGATGGTGCGAGGGTCAAGCGGGAATCCTTGGAGCTGAGCGCTTGGCGTCTCCAGGTTGTGGCTTGAATGGGTTCCAGGCAAGAGGAGAAGGGGCTTCCGGAGTCATCTGTACACACAAGAGAGGCAGCCAGATGGCTAGTGTGAGTTCAGTGTTTGGAATTCTGGGAAGGGATGCCAGATGTCTGAGGTTTGGATACCTTGACCAGAGTCGAGCCTCAAGTGGCGCCTGGGTACCTATCTAGTCATTTCCGTTGAGGCCCTAGGTGACCACACCTGGAACGCAGGATGCTTTGCTGTCTCGGCTTTGGGATGGTTTCTGTTTACTTGGAATCTTCAAGGGTCTGTTCTTGAATGGTTTTTTTGTCCCTGGGTAGGGATGGCCAAAGATAAGTGCAGATGTTTTCCTCTTGTCATTTCCCTAGAATGTGCAATCTTTAGGGAAGATCAATCCCAAGCAGAAGGAAAACGAGTCAACCAGTATTTGACTTTGAGCTGCTCTATTTTGTGTATAATAAGGACTACCTTGGCAAAAGGAGACCACATTCACCACTCACTCTTCAGCTGGTCCCCAAGCTAGCAGAGGAAACATCACCTGGGAGGTTGCTAAAAACTGTTAAGTTTTGATGGCTAACCACAGACAATCTGGGCATGGGGTTAACAATTGCCTTTTTACAATCTCTGCAGCACATTAGTGATTTCTTAGTTTGGTCTGTGAAAAGAGATGTGTGACATACAACTATGTCAGAGAGACATAGTTCTTATTCTTAACTTTCTCCCCTAAGAAAGCAGGGTCATTAATATCCTCATTCGACTGTTGAGAGAAAGGCTAATATTTGTATACTAAACAGCAAAACACTTGGTATTAGCAGTACTGTCTTATAAGCAAGTTTTGCATGTAAAAATGCTATGGTTTTTTACCTCCTTCCTTTTGTTTTGGTTTAAATGGAACTGTAGACATTTCTGTGTTGTAGCAGAGCCCTCAGTTTGGGGAAGTGTTATGCTTAGCCTCAGTGCACAGTGTCTCTTAAACTTTCCTGCAGTAAGAATCTCCTGAGGTTACATTTGCCCTCATATCCCTATGGCTCTTAAATAAGATTGCACAGAGCTCAGTGGTGCTGAGCCCTGCATCACATCGGAATTATCTGGAGAGATTCCTGAATACTAGTTACTGAGCTACCATCCTTCTCCCTCACCAAGGTTTAGCAAATTGGTTTGGGTTGTAGCCTAGGCGGACGCCAGTGTTTTTAAAACACAGGTGACTCTAGTAGCTGTGGTTGGAAATCAGTAAAGCTTCGGTGATAGAAGAGAAACTAAGGAACAAGTGCCAAGTGCTTTAACTTTTATTTCCTGGAGATTATTTGGAAGATTAAGAAGTTAACACTCTATTTTATGTCAGGAAACTGGGACTTGGGTGAAATCACTCTTGTGAAATCATAGAAAGTGTTGGAACTGAGGTTGCAGTCCAGCTTTGCTGGACTTTCAGACTTGCTTCCCTTTGCACACATGAGACTGTTCTGCAGGGCTTTGTTGTTGTTGTTGTTATTGTTGTTGTTGTTGTTGTTGGTGGTGGTGGTGGTGGTGGTGGTGGTGGTGTGTGTGTGTATGTGTGTGTGTTTCTTCCCTCTGCTTTGTCTGGGTCTCCCTTCAAGTCAATAGTTTTTTCCTTTTGGCTGATTTTATTTTTTTTTCCAAGCATGCATGCAGTTATTTCTTGCCTGTGGCTCTGACACTATTAAGTGAGACTTTCATTTATGATCTTTTATTTATGATGCTTTGGTTGTTTTTAATGTGTGGGTCAGGAATTTGTTGGGCCAATAGGGCAAGAGGTTAGAGAGCTTCTTCAAGACCACAGAGTTATAGGCTAATTAAGGGGTACAGAATGATTTAGAATAGTGGCTTGCAATTTTGGCTATATATTAGAAGATGCTGGGGGAAGGAAAAAATTCAGTCGCCTAGGCCATGTCACCAGACCAGTAATTCAGATTTCTGTGAGTATTGTTTAAGTTTAGATCTGCAGAGGATGCTAGAGGAGTATTTGCATTTTGGGGCACATTTCCTTAACCCTCAGCCCCCAACACACCCTGCTATAAGTCTTCCTTTTCTCTCCAGGTCATCAGAGTTTTGGGAAACTTCTGGAAGTTCCTTCTGTCATTCATGGACAGTTTTTCTGGTTGGCTATGACTGTTAGTATGGTGTCTTTGAGGACAGGTTTGAAAGGAAAGCTAGAAGGAGGGGGTCTGGCTTCCTCCTGGCCTCTCTTTATGTTCGGCCTTGGGCCCCATAGACCTCAGGTGAGCTCTGGGTTTTGGAAGTTCAGCTTCTTGTAATGTTCTCACTTGAGAAGCAGGATGAGTTTCTTGAGAAAGTGCTTCCTTGCAGGAGGCCATTCTTTCTGTTTTACCCTGCAGGGTTCTGACAAGTTTCCAGCTGTGACTTCCAGGACACCCTCAGGATAGGTGCAATGGAGGTGGGGAGGCTTAGCCAGAAGAGTTGGGTAACCTCCAGTTGAATTTCCCATGACTGTCACTTGCTCACTGCTTCTGCAGTTACAGGTTGCTACTGTTTCATCCGTCCCCTACCTAGTCAAAAGATAGCATGTGCTTTGCCATTTATAATGTAATAAATATTGTGGAAATTTTTTTCTGGAAAATATAGGCATAAAGAACATGAAAACTGTCATTTTTTTTTCAGAATAGCTAGAAGTTTTGTGCTGTGAGTGTTCTTTAGCCAGAAGATACAGGAGCACACCTGTGTCCTGCATGGTTGGGTTATCTCTGAGAGATTGAAGGAGATTGGAGGATGTACAGAAGAGGATTGTGGGAAGGTTCAGAGATGTGGGATGCTTTCAGCCTAGCAACTAGTTCCATGCTTTGGTCTCAGGGATTCTCATCCTGAAGGTGGGAGACTAGAACAGTGACCAACGGCAGCAAGGACTCTGTCAGCCAGGGAGGGCAGTGTGTAGTCATTTTTGTGTTTTGGATAGTGTTTATGTTCTTTGTGTGTTAAGGGCTAAAGATGGAATGGTCCTGTTTCTGCTTTGAGGGAGCATAGCGCCAGGGTGACTGTGTGATGAGGTGCTGAGAAGTCCTCTACCATGGGAATACCCAGGACTTGAATGAGGGCAGCCCACCTCAGGCCGTGGGGCTGCTTTCTTCCTTCTTAGTTCTGTGCTCCAGACACAGGAAGCATCCTGTCCATTCCTGTGTATCTCCGGCTCTAGAATTTTATAAAATTTATTCAAAAACCCATTTCCTAGAATACAGAGATGCCGGGTGCCAGGCTTCTTTCTCAGGCTTGCTTACTCAGCATTTCTGTGGCCCTTGCTTTGGCTTGAGAGGTACCCCAGAGCTGGCAGTCCTGGCAGGGTCTGTCATAGGATCTTGTTATCTGGTGACATTAGAATAGAAAACCATTCATGTTTCAGGAATTTGCTTCCAAGACTTGCTGTTGCTTGTACTCCGGATCACTTCCCCCCTTAGGAAGGGTCGGAGTGGGATCTGGATCCTGCCTAGCCTCACAAAAGCATATTGTGTCTGTAGTTGAAAGAGGGTCCATTTAGCTGTTGGTGGTATGTGGCAGTGAGCAGAGGTAGAGAGACCTGAGTGGTGTCCTGTCTGCCTAGGATGCAGCCTGGGTGCTGTTGAAACAGATACTGGATGAAAAAGAAGTCTACATAACACAAGATTTAGAGCAAACCCATGCCTACACAGTCAGGAGGAGAGCTCGGTCTGCAGGACAAATTGGAGGAAACTGAGGGATGTCAGCCCTCCAGCTCCCACCATTTGCCTTGGCTCAGTTAGCCTCTGATTTTAAGAAAAACCAGAAGCCAGATTTTTTCTTTGAGCTCTGAGTTGCCAGCAGTGGAAGTTTTAAATGCAGCATATCTACAGAGAAAACGAAACAGCGTCTGGAGGCCAAATTCAGCCTGGGGCTGAAAGAGGTAGTGCTGGCCTGGTGTGGTGACCCCATCTTCTCCACTGGCAGGAAGAGATGTCAGGAGAAAGTGTGGTGAGCTCAGCGATGCCAGCGGCTGCTACCCGTACCACTTCCTTCAAGGGCACGAGTCCCAGCTCCAAGTACGTGAAGCTGAATGTGGGGGGAGCCCTCTACTACACCACCATGCAGACGCTGACCAAGCAGGACACCATGCTGAAGGCCATGTTCAGTGGGCGCATGGAAGTGCTCACTGACAGCGAAGGTGAGTCCACACTGCCAGTTGCTGCTGCTGGTTGTGCACTTGACCTTGTGTCAGGTGCCACAGATGTGCTTATGGCCGAGGGCTTCTGTCTGTTCTGAAGGCCAGCATTCAAGGGGTGGTCAAACACACAGGTGTGACTTCTGGTTGTGTTTACTGTTCTCACAGGTACAGGAAACCCTGGATTTAGTCTAGGGGGTGTGGTCAGAGAGGGTCTCCCCAGGAAGGGGGGGCACTGGAGCAGATCTCAGACTGTGAGTAGGAATCCCCTGCATAGATAAGTACCCTTAATCTTGACCTTGCAGATTTGTAACGTTGAAAGCCATATGCCTACTCCAGGCCTTGGCTTGCTTCTCCAAAATGGAGGCTAGGCCAGCTGCCCTTGTTGGTTCCCTTCCAGTTCTGTGACTTCAGAGTGTCATGAAGGCCTGGGAGACACATTATTATTTCTTGGTCCTCTTCCCCTGAGATGGGGTCCTGGTAAAGACTCAGGCCTCGTAAAGACTCAGGAACTGGATTGGAGCTCCAGTTCCACATTTAGTACCTGGTGATCCCAGCCAAGTGACTTAGTCTTTTGAGGCCGTGTTTTCCTTACCTGGTAAAATGAGCACAGTGATGCCCATCTCATGGGGCTATTGACACATAGAAATTGGTACATGTATATTCAACATAGATATATATTTCTTAGGGCAAGTTTTTAGTAAAAAGCAAAGAACCTTTTAAAGAGCCCTTGTCGTAACTACTTGCTAACCATTGGATCTGTCAGAGAGGTAGGGGTGAGGGTACATCCTTACCTGGTGGGGTTAAGGACAGGTCATGAAGTTTAAACATAGCTATATCCTTCATTCCTTGGACTGAGATTACTTCAGGCCAGGCCAGGCCAGACTGTAGTGGGGTTGGACCCTGCTATACCTGTTTGAGACCAGCTTTTCTATGCCAGTGCACCTATCTTCCAGAGATAAGGCTTTGGGAACATGGGTTACCTTGGGGCCTAAGCCTGGGGTGCCATGCTTCACTCTGCTCTAGCTCTGATCCTAGCATGGGATGCTGGCTAGATAGCTTGGGACTACCATGTTCTAGAGGAGGCTGAACCCTAGAGGCTTGGAGTGGGGAGGCATGACTCAAGCTCTGTTCCTGTCTTCTTGAGATCTTGAGTTCCTGGTCAGGCAGCAGTTAATTGAGGTCAGAGCCCCAGCGTTGCTGTGCTTTCCTTGGAAAATAGTGTTTGTGAGTGGGAGGCTCCCCTTGGCTGTGCCACACCCCACATTGCCCAGTATTTGTGGATATCAAGACAATGGCACCCCAGCTGCAGAAGGAAACAGGTGTTATCTGAGAGCCCAAGGTCATTATGGGTTTTCATCCTCCCCATCCAGTCTTGACAGGGTTCTGGAGGAGGAGCTGAGTGGCTCTGAAGGCTGATGGGAAGCCTCCTCTAGAAAGCCTTCATCTGGATAAACCAATGCCTTACTATAAATAAGAGTGTGTGTGTGTGTGTGTGTGTGTGTGTGTGTGTGTGTGCGTGCGTGTACCAGCAGGCCTGCTCTGGTTCTAAATGCCTGCTAAGGGCAGCCTTTGTCCAGTGCTGTCAAGAAAACCCAGCTTCTCTGGGGGAGCAGCAGCATCACCAACATCCAGACCTGTCATGTGTACCCAAAGTCACCTCGGTTCCAGCCCCTTCCCATGGCAGCAGCTCATAGCCCGGCATTCAGGGGTGTCATCCTCACCTAGCCCTTTGAGTGTGGAGACCATTCCCATTCCAGGCGAGGGGTCAGTATCTTGGAGAGGTTAGATGCTTTTTTCCAAAGCTATGGGGATAGGAAAGCTGAAGCTCCTGACCCTGACGCTGCTTCTCTTAGAAATATTTTATTATTTTTATTTTATGTGTGTGAGTGTATTGCCTGCATGTATACAAGTGCACCCATGTTGTGCAGTGTTTGCAGAGATCAGAGGAGGGTCTCAAATCCCCTGGAACTGGAATTAGGTATGGTTGTTAGTCACCAGCTGGGTGCTGGGAATTGAACCTGGGTCCCCTGTGAGAGCAGTCAATGCTCTTGACTGCTGAGCCATCTCTCCAGCCCCCCAACACTGCATCTTATTCTCTGCTTCTGATCCTTTGGTTGGGAGTGGGCCCAGCCCATCTCCCTGGCCAGACCACTTGATGAGTTAGCCGCCGGTTTGGTGCCAAGGCCCTCAGCAGTCTGATGAAGATCTGACTGTCATGCTGAGGTTCTAGTCCTCCAGCTGTCAGGCCATTGGAGGGAACAATACATAGCCTGACCCATGGCCTACATGTTGCCCCAGGAACGTTCTCAGGTACAAATTGGAATAGACTTCTCCCTCTTAAAGTTTCACCCTGGTCCTAGGACTCCATCACAGCCAGGCTTCCTGAAGTTTGTTACAAAGAGAAATATCAAGTGCAAATCAGCAAGGGAACCCACAGTAGAGCTTTCCACTGAAAGAGAAGGCGCTTTGAAAGCAGACTATATATATATATCATGTTGGTAGAATTCTGTGAAGGGTGACTGAAAAACTAGTTTGAGGATAAGATCTGCATTTAGCTGGCGGGAGTGTCTCCTCTTTGCTCCCTGCCACCTGCCTGTTTGAGGTTTGTCCCTTGTGTTTGCGGTCCCTGAACAGAGAACACAAGTGTGGGAAACACCTGGGTTTGAGTCTTGGCTCAGCCACGCAGTAACAGTCAGAGCTGACATTACAGAGTCTTTTCCACATGTCAGGCTTGGTGCTAGTTTTGACTCGCTGGCCATTTTACTGGAATTGCAACATTGAGTAAGTGACTTTTTCTGAACCTCTTTCCTCATTTCCCAATTAGAAAGATAATGTATGACAGAGTTGTAAGAGTTCATGAGGGCGTTAGAGAGCCGTGTGGTCAGAGCCTGAAGCTTTGGGTGAACTGAGCCAGTGGACAGATACTGGAAGGTAGGAAAGGGAAGAACCTGCTGAGAGCTTGAGAGGGGTGTGCCTCAGTGGGGTGAGGGGTCCCACCTTGGCCTTTAGGAGTAGGTATGTTGCAGTTCCACGTTGCACCCTCCAGGGCAGCTTTTCTGAGAGGACACAGTGATGGTGAGCCCACCTTTACCTGACTTCTTCCCAGAAAAGTTGGGTTCTTACAGTGCTACTTTTTCTTTCTTTCTTTCTTTTTTTAATATTTTATTTTATGTGTATAAGTGTATTGCTTGCGTGTATGTGAGTGCACCCGTGTTGTGCAATGCTGCGGAGGTCAGAAGAGGGCTTCAGATTCCCCTGGGACTGGAGTTAAGGATGGTTCATAGCCACCATGTGGTTGCTAGAAATCAACTCCAGGTCCTCTGCTAGAGCAGTCAGCGTGCTTAACCGCTGAGCCAGCTCTCTAGCCCCAGTTCTACTTTTTCTTGAGCCCTTGTCAACATCTTCAATGGCCTGATGGATTTATGTAGCAACTTTTGTAATAAGAATTGGAATTCTGGGGCTGAGGATGTAGCTCAATTGGTAGAGTGCTTCCCTAGCATGCATGAAGCTCTGGGTTGGATTCCTACACTGCATAAAACTGGGTATGGTGGCACACAACTGGAGTAGTCCCAGCACTCAGGAGGTGGAGGCGGGAGGATCAGGAGTTTAAGGTCATGGTTGGCTCCATAGTGAGCTTAAGGCCAGCCTGGGCAACATGAGACCCTATTTCCAAAGAGAGGTGAGGGAGAGGGAGATTTCTTTTTTGCACTGGCCTGCAGTGTTTTGTTCCTGAGACTTGGTACAGACACTTCCCCACCCCCCCCCCCCCCCCCCCGCCAGTAGTTTCAGATCTCTCACTAATGCTTTCAGAATTAGGGAGTACAGAAACTAAGTGGAATCAGTCATTCATTTTATTGTCTGCACATTCCTGTAAAAAGCTGCTCATACTAGCAAAAAGCGTCTCATGGGGCCTCTTTGTACCTTGTGTCTTTGCCTCACTCCCTTTCAGTGGCAACCATTAGTCTGCTTTGGGTCACTAGGTGCATCTCAACATTTTCACTCAAGGACTGCAGAACCTTTGCCTGGGATGGTAAGAGCTCTCCAGGTGAGTCTAGTTTGTAGCCAGGGCTGGGAGCCAAAAGTATGGCTCTTTCTAGGCATTATGTTTATGAAGCTGTGTAGGTCCCTAACAATGTCCTGTTGGTGTGGCTTTGAACATTTCGTAAAGGGGCTATACCTTGAGTCCTCTTTTTGCTTTTGCTTATCTGTGCTTGTGACTTCAAGCCATGAGTAAATAGCTCTAGCTCAGCTCTTTCCCTGTGGTAGAATATTTCCATTGTGGAAGCATACTGCAGCTGATGGAAACATAGGTGGTTGGTGGCTGTATAAATAGCTTATAGTGTCCACTGTAGAACATTAATGACCTTGAACATTCTCCCTGGGCACATTTAAAAGACTTGGGCTGTCTCCATCCTGACCTCCCGCATTAAGGTCTTGCCTTCCTTGGTTGCTCTTCCTTGCATATTCCCAGAAGGCAGCTGGGAATAGCATCTACTTCATTAGATACTGCCGAGCCAGCTTTCTCTCAGGTGGCTATGTCAGCTACAGTCCTCACAGTGGTCTGGATTCTTGCCAGCACTAGGTACTGGTGAACCTCTTAGCCATTGCCAAGCTGCTGTGATGGTCCGGTGCCATGTTGTTTCACTTCACATTTCCTCATTTTCTAGTATGTCGTGTATCTTTTGTAGTAATTGGTTTGGGTTCCATATTTACCTGCCTGACAGCATCTTTTTAAAAATTATTTATTTCTTTTTACTTTTATTTTTGTGTATAAATATATTGCCTGCGTGTGTGCAAGTGCACCTGTGTCATGCAGAGCCTGAGGCGATCAGAAGGTGGTGTTGGATTCCCTGGAACTGGAGTTATGGATGGTTGCTTAGCTGTCATGTGGGTGCTGGGAATTGAACCTGGATCCTCTGCAAGAGCAGCCAGTGCTCTTTAACTGCTAAGCCATCTTTCCAGCTCCCATGACATGTCGTGCAATGCCACGGGGTCAGAAGAGGGCTTTGGATTCCCCTGGAACTGGAGTTAAAGACAGTTTGTAGCCACCATGTGGGTGCTGGGAATTGAACCTGGGTCCTCTGAAGAGTACTCAGTGCTCTTAACCGCTGAGCCATCTCTCAGCCCCCAATTGACTTTTTTTTTTTAAACCTTACTGCTTTGCAGAAATACATATTTTGGATTCTAGTTCTTTGTGGTTCTGAGTTGTAGTAAACGTCTCCTAGTCTGACTTACCTCAGCTTTTGTAATGGTGGTCTGTAATGCCTCAACATTGATGCATTGCTATGACAGTTAAATCTGGGTCTGTGTGTCTGTCCCCCTCTCCCCTCTCCTCTCCATCTTTCTTCCTCCCTTATGCAGTGCTGGGGATCCCCTCCCTCCCTCCCTCCCAGTATATGTTAGGCAAGCACTCTACCACTGAGTTACAACCCCAGTCCATATGTAGGCCTTTGATCTGCCTCAGTGGTTCTCAGGCAAGGATTTTCATTGTTATTGTTGTTTATAACTAAGGGACATTTGGCAATGTCCAAATATACTTTTGGTAGTCACAACTTGGGTGTGACGTTGTTGCTAGCATTTAGGAGGCAGAGGCCAGGAATGCTGCTAAATGCCTTACAGTGCACAGGACTGGCCCCTCTCAAAACTGTCAGTTAGGCCAGGGTTAGAGATCCTGCCCCAGAGATTCAGGTTCAGGGATTTGATGCCTGTTACAGGTATCTTAGGGTGACATTTGGGACAGGGCAAGCTTGGGGACCACAAAAACAAAGTTGTGATACCTTGGAATGGTGATGAAAGGTGAGCAGAGGCTCTCTGGAGGAGGAAGGGAAGGAAAAGGTGAGCCTAGCAGCTCAGTGCTCTGGCCCTCCAGCCTTCTGCCTTGGTACCCTGAAAGCCACAGGGACTCCCTCCTGGGTTCTTGAACTTTTTCTCCAGTGATTTGATGTGTGAAGGGTTTATTGTTAAAGACCTGTAACTGATGCCAGTAGGCCAGTATCATCTGTGTGTCTTCCATCCTTTCTCTCATCATGTTTGTGAGCCGCACAGTGACATTCCATTTGCAGAAGTGAAACCTGCTGGACAGAGCGCTTAAGTGAACAACTGACGCAGGTAGTGACAGAGCTGGTTTCTGACCGCCCCACTCCTCTGTGTTTGCTCTGAGATGTCCTGGGGCTCAGGCCAAGCCTTCTGGGTTTGCTCCATCCTACTTTCCTCATAGACTGTGGGATCCCAGCTTCCTGGCTCTGGAAGCTTTCTTAAATGATGAGTTCTCCAAGGCAGTGGGTGGCTGCCCCCCAGTAAGCAACTGCTTGATGCCCATTTGCTGTCCGCCACGCAGGCATTTGAGCCAGCTGTTTCTGAGGATATATTCCTGCTTTGAAAGCAACCAAAATATTTTCAAGTCAAAATGCTAATTGAAAGCTCGTGGAGAATGTGCTTGGCTCCTTTGCCCTTATTTGTCCAAAGTATGATTCCTTCACCACAAGCATTTCCTGACAACATTCTTGAGCTGGAGCCCAGTGTCACAGTCTGCCTGTTCATTTATGGAAACTCTGGGCCGTCACTTGGGTAATGGATTTCGGGGCCCTTTCCCTTTCCCCAGCGGCTTGAGCTGTGCATGTGTGGAAGGCAGGATGCGGATGGGTTCTGTCCAGTCAGCTGAGTTTTGAATTGGCTTCAGTTTTCTCCTGAAGCTTGAGGTTCCTTATTCTTAGTGGCCAAGTCTTATCTTCCCCACTTTGGAATGCCACCAAGCATCTCAGGGACCCTATATGTGGAAATGCAGTGGGTGAGCCTCCCCTAAAAGGGCAGTTGGGAAGATAAAGCCATCACCCCATACCATGTCAGCTTTCAGTCTAGGGAGCATGGCGACTGTAGGCTGGTTGCTGTTAGGCTGAATTCAGCCTACTTATGTTTTATTTACCCTGTGATGGGATGAGAACCTTTTCCTTTTTAAATTAGTTAAAAATGAGATTGACAGAAAAAAATCTGAATTTCTGGCATTGCTTGGAATATGAGAACACAGGCAACCCTGAGCCCACTTTCCTACTTGGCCACTCATGGCTGAAGTGGTAGAGGCCACCCTGGGGGACAGGACAGGGCAGGCTCTCCAGTCAGCCACTGGCCTGGGCCTGCTCCCCTGTGGGCAGCTAAATTGTGTTTGTTAGTAAGTACTTGTTTGGTTCTCTCAGATCTAGAAAGAAGGAAGGCGAGCACCTTGAGGTCACTGCCAGCGGAATGGGGTTTACCCTTCCAGGCCTCTTTCTTCCTCAGCCAGGGCTGGGCTCCAGGCTCTGAGCTTACTCTGTATTCACTTGATTGGGCATTCTTCTTCCTGCTCTGTGCAAGAAACTGTAATTGTGTGGAAGGCTCTGGAGGGAGACCAATCTTCAGCAAAAGGCCAAGGAACAACAGTCTGAGGAAGGTCAGTCTAGGAACAGGAAAATGGGCCCATTTGTAACTGATGCAAAGGATCTTTCTCCCTCTCAGGGCATGGAACCACAAGAGGCCACTTGGCAGGGGCTGGGTATGGGGACAGGGAGGCAGAGGGAGGTGGTCAGGCTTCTGACTGATAGATGAAAAGGGATTTCTGCTGCTTCTGACTTCTGTTGTCCTCTGCCCCTGGCTTAGGGCCTAAGGGTTCAGTGGGGTCTAGAGTAGAGAAGTCTGTCCCTTCTTCCAGTAGGGAGCAGAGGGGAAGGCAGTGGGAGCCCAGTTCCTGCATAAACCATGCTGTGCGTTGCTGTTTTCCATTCCTGAGGTGGGTCAGGAGGTGTGGTCAAGCCCTCTGGCCCGAGGTCACTGTGTGATAGGCAACACTTAAGGCTTACCCATCTGGCTGCTTTGGTGCTTCCTTCTCTTGCCAGTCTTTAGGCCTGGCTCCTCCTCCAAATACCACTTCCAGAGATGTCACATTTCAGGAAAGGAATTTTGAAAACCCACGGGCCTTTGGGTGAAGTAGGAGGTGAGTGACAAAGTTGGAGAGGACAGTGGAGATGGTCTCCTAGCCCTTCCCTTCAAGAACCTCTACTGTGCTGGGTGCTGGCCAGCAGGTGGGACGTGTTCCTGTACCCAGTGGAAGCAGGGTCACCTTCCCAAGTTAACTGAGCCCTTTGATGGCAGTCTCTTGTGTTGTTGCTGTTACTAGTAAATGTTTGCTGTGAGAAGTCTTGGGGAGGTCACTTCCTGTTTTGCTGTTGGGGGAGTCACCCTGGGGAGCCACCCTGCAGAGCCTGCTGTAGGTCACAGTGTGGTGCATGCAGTGGCTCTCCTATGAGAGTGTAGCACTGTGGAGAGGGAGACTTGGTATTTTCACTGCTTGGGGTATTTGCAGATTCTTCAGAACTATGCTTTCCAAGGCTTCACAGGCCTTGGGGTCACATGAGGCTGAAGACCATAGGAGTCTGGAGTGGGAATATGCTCAGCTATGGACTGTGGCAGTGCTGTAAGGAGGTGGGCAGTTGAGGCCACAACCCTGTCTGCACTCCCGTTCTCCCTGGGAGGGGAGGGAGTCAGGAGACACCTCAGTTCTGCTGCCCTCCTCCCCACCAGAGTACCATGTAAGTAGCTTCCTCTCTTCCCCCACTGCAGGCTGGATCCTCATTGACCGCTGTGGGAAGCACTTTGGAACGATACTCAACTACCTGCGAGATGGGGCTGTCCCCCTGCCCGAGAGCCGCCGGGAGATCGAGGAGCTGCTAGCAGAGGCCAAATACTACCTGGTGCAGGGCCTGCTAGAAGAGTGCCAAGCGGCCCTCCAAGTAGGCACCCCTTCCGTCCCACATGGGGGACCCCAAATGTACCTGCCATCCTCCTTTTTTACTTTCTGCTAAGTGGGCAGCCCTTGCCTTATTGAGACATTAGGAGATACTGCGCAGAGTCAGCCTAGGAGTCTCTGAGGGATGGGGCTGCTAGCTGAGAGTCTGAGAGCAGTGTGTGTGGGGTGGGGGTGGGGGCAGATGACACCATTCCTCATCATTGGGATGTGGACATTTGAACCCATTTTATCCAGGATGGTGCATTGGATCCCACTTGGGATGCTGTTATCTAAGGGGTGTCTGGGAGTACTTCAGAAGCTCTTTCAGGCTGCCCTGTGTTCTACCTGACTGTGCTGACTTCTTTTAGTCCTCTCCGTATTGGGTCATCTCACATAGATGGTAACCCTTCTGTCTCCATCATCAGACATACTCTGGCTGCTTTTGTCATTGTTGGGTGTCCAGCAAAATCTCTACAGACAGACCCTTTGCTCCTCATTTGGACTGAAGCAGGACCAGTGAGGGCAAAATCCCACAAAGAAAATGTAGTCAGTACAATTTACTTTAAGCCAAGTTCCAACCTAGTGGAGAATCTGGAGTCTCTTGGGGCTGTGGTAGGAGTGTGATTTGTGTATGTGAGGCACCTGTGTGTGCCTTCCCTGAGCCACAGGACCATGTCTGGCCCTCGCTGGACCAGTGCTCGTAAGGCTAAATTCAACAAACAGACCTTGCTGCATACACCTCGTGCCTGTGAGCTGTGAACCTTGGTAATGTGCTTGCATTTTATTCTACTCTTATGTGTGTTGAGGTGATGCATGTGTAGCATTTTAAAGTCCCCCAGCACATGTGGTTGACACTATACACCTTCCCTGACCTCTTCACCCCCAAGGCAGTCTCTGCTGCCATTTATTGACTGTAGTTTTAGACACTGTCTGTGGGCATTATTATAGAAAATTAGAGCTTAGCTCACACACTCCTTCCCTTCTACCACGTCCACCAAGCTTGCATGTACATGTAGAGTTTATCACAGCTTTGGTTAGACCAGTATTTAGAGTTTACCTTATGGGTGTCAACATTGTTGAGCCACAGGGTATTTTGTTTGCTTGATTCCCGTCGCTGCTTCAGCCCCAGCTTCTCAGAAGTGTCGGTTTCATGCTGGACTGTTGAGACACATCTGCAATGCTGTGTCTCTTTGGGTTCTGTGCTGTTAAGCTGCGATTCGACCTCTAGGGTGACCACCTCCTCATTCTTTCCTTCTGGTATCTCACTTGCCTGTTCTCACCTGCTTTCCTGGAGTTGATCCCCCTCCCCTATTCTCTTTTTAACCCTTCAGTTGGATTTTTGCTTCTGCTACTGTGTTCTACATGCCAAGAGTCTTGTGTTGTTGTCTGAGAGCTGTTTTTGTGGCATGTTGATCTCATTTCAGAGGGTGTCATGTCTGACCTCGGCTGTCTGATGGACACCATTTAAAGAGTTCTGTCTGCCCCCCTCAGTGTCTGACTCCTTCCCTTGCTTTTTGCTTTTTGAGCTGGTTCTGGTCTCATGTTGAGAGACTTCCCACACATAATCTGATGATCCTCGGTTTCTGCTGAGGCTCAAAGCTAAGACTGAAAAGCTCCATCTGTAGGACCGGCAGTCCTTTCGTTCAGGCAGCTTTCTCAGTGGGGATTCTTGGGTGGAAGATACTGCCCGGTAAGAAGTTGTCCACTGCCAGGCGTGGTGGTCCCTGTAATTTAAGCACTCAGGAGGTGGAGGCAGGAGGATGATGAGTTGGAAGCCCACCTAGGTTGCATAGCAATACTGTTTCAAACAACCAAAGTAGTCTTCCACTCTACCTGAGTGTGTGCTGTAAAGGTGGCTGGTGCCCTCTGGGTTGGAGTGGGCCCGGGGCTGGGGGCACTTACCATTTACTTGCAGACAGTCATTGAGAGAGCCACGCAACCCTGTGGTGTGCTTTGCCACCACTGCAGGAATGTAGACCTTTCTGCTGGGGCGGAAGTGGGATGGATCTGGGCGCTATGGTTCTTGCTGATGGGAGCTGTCCTCAGCTTTTGCCTTGTGCCCCTAGCCTGCAGTGTTCCTGAGAACTCTCTAGGCTTTTTCCACTCTTTGAAGTGAACTTTGCCTTCTCCATCTCTATCATCTCTCATCTGGAATCTGTTTCCAGCTTGACATTTGGCATCTTTTGTCTGCTGACATCAGTTCTCCCTTTCTTTTCTCCTTTTATTCCTGCAGTCATTATAGTAGGTCACCATCTTTCATGTTGAGGGTTTGGCTTTGAGTGGCTTCCAGGGCCGAGAGAAACGTATCAGTATTTACTGGGCATCCTGGCATGTCATAGCCCTAGGCAAAGAGCAGGCTTATGGAAAATTCCCCTCTTAGTCTTACCCCATCCTCAGTCACAGGTGGAAAGCGCCACCTTCTCTTCCCACTGCAACTGCCCCGTCTCTCCTCACCAGGGCCTGTGTACCTGGCTGGCCAGCTTAAAATCCCAGTGCTAGACAGGCCTCCCAGGCTGAAAGCATGTTTTGTTCCAGCAGAACAAAGATACTTATGAGCCCTTCTGCAAGGTTCCTGTCATCACCTCCTCCAAGGAAGAACAGAAACTTATAGCGACTTCAAATAAGGTATGTTGGAGGCTCCCTCCCTGAAGTGGTGGGGAGTCTAATGCCTAAGCTTTGAGATGAAGGCCAGGCCAGAGCTGGAAGCTCTGTGCTGCCCCGCCCTTGGAGCATGCAGTCTCTCTCTCCTGCCCTCAGTCCTGCCTATCTCTTGCACCTGGAGGCAGAGCCCCAGTTCTGTGGGAGCCAGTGACTCGTTGCATCTGCATGCCCAGTAACAACTTCTTTTTTTTTTTTAAACAACCCACAGCCAGCCGTGAAGTTGCTGTATAACAGAAGTAACAACAAATACTCATACACCAGGTAAGGTGTCAGCCAGGAAAGATAGCTCACTCTCTAGGAAATCTCCACTCTCACCAGCCAGCCCCGACTCTGCCTGGTCCCTTCTTGTGAGGAGGACCTCTCTGCACCTCTAGACTAGGTAGGTAGATAGGTAGGGAGAGAACTTTGAGATGGAATTCACACATGCCATAAAACTCACCTTTTTCTTTCTTTCTTTCTTTTTTTGTCTTTTTAAGACACGGTCTCCTTGTAGCCCCAGCTGTCCTGGAACTCACTATGTAGACCAGGCTGGCCTCGAACTCACAGAGATCCACCTGCCTTTACATCGTATAATTGAGTGGGTCTTTTTACATTCACAACTCTGTACAACCACCACCACTTTCTAGTCTTAGAACATTCTCATGCCCCACTAGCAGTCGCCCTTCTTGCCCTCACTCACTACCCCTGGCCTTAGGCAGCCATTAACCTATTTTTCTGTATTTGTAGATTTGCCTGCTTTGGACGTTTTGTATGAATAAATTCTTATAATATGTTGCATTTTGGGCCGGTTTCCCCTCTTTGTGTCATGTTTTCAAGGTTCAGCCACGCTGTAGCATGATCAGTATTTCATTCTTCTTTATAGCAGCATGCTATTCTGTTGTATGGACCTACCATATTTTATTTATCCATCAGCATGGACATTTGGGTTTCTAGTTTCTGGCTGTTATAAATAATGCCACTATGAACATTTATGTAGTGTTTTGTGGACATGAGCTTTCCTTTCTCTTGGGTAGATCCTAGGAGTGGGATTATCAGACCATATGCAACTCTTGGTTCAGTCACTGGGGTGGGGGGGTCCTGTTGAACTTTATACAACGGCACTGTTGTATAGCCCCACCAGAAAGAGATGGAGGTTTCTAGAGTGCCCTTTGGCTCTGAGGAACTTGTGGCTATAAGTGAGGAACTTGAGGGAGGTAGGGGGACCTTAATGAGCTCATTGAAGATGCTCAAACTGACCTAAACTCAAGAGTCTTCCATTTCTGCTGTGTCCCTCACGGGACTTGGTTCCCCCCACCCCCAGTAGTGCTTGGGCCCTGAGGTCCTGCATCTTCAGCATCCTGTTTTTGCTGTACAGGGCCGGCATGCGAGCAGTCTGGTTAGGGGCACGGCTTTTGGACCAGAACTATATTTCTGAGACCCAGCTCTGCCATGTGTTAGTTTGGGGACTTGTACATGACCTGCTTTCTTTGAGCTTCATTTTCCTTTTTGGACAGCAGAGACTAAGCTCCTTTCTCATGGGAAGTTGAAATGATAGAGGAGGAAAGGAACCTGGGTGGGTCTTGTTGAAGCACTCAGGTGTCGGCAGTTGGTAGCAGCTTGTGGTCACTTTACTGTGTGTGCTTTTGCAGCAATTCTGATGACAACATGTTGAAGAACATTGAGCTGTTTGATAAGCTCTCTCTGCGCTTTAACGGGAGGGTCCTGTTCATAAAAGACGTCATTGGGGATGAAATCTGCTGCTGGTCCTTTTACGGCCAGGGCCGCAAGATTGCTGAAGTCTGTTGCACCTCCATTGTCTATGCCACCGAGAAGAAGCAGACCAAGGTAAGCGCTTCACAGGGACAGCCGAGTGGCTGCTCTCACACGAGTGTGTGTGACACTTCCTTCCACTTGAGCACAGTAAGCTCAAAGAGGGAAGTCTTTGATAGTGCTTTCTTTGCTTTGTGGTTGCTTGTCATGGAGCCTGGGACAGATCTAAGAGTAGGCTTTGGGGAAATGGAATGGCATTCCCTGCTGACACTTGGCAAGTAGAGACAGCTATGCTCCATTCTAGTGCTGTGCGGTATGGATGAATTCAGGGCTGCCCTTGCACCTGTGAGCTCCCAGCTCCCATGTCTTCTCCTTCTGACACTGACTATCCTGTCCTTCATCTTCCTCTGTGTGGCACTGTTTCCCACCAGCACTGTTCCGTCAGAGCTCGCTTATCAGAGGATCAGTGCTGCCTTCCAGAGCTGGCCCTTGGCTTTCTAGTTATGACCTGCCATTTGCTTGCCAATTCTCCTTCTCTTGTCTGCTGGCCTATAGCTGCTGTGCACTGTCAAAGGGCCCACATGCTATTCTTCACCTCCCCCCTTTCCAAACACACTTGACTCCTTCGCTGAGCTGGATTCTGGATCCATCTTTGTACCATCCTCTCTGAGCCAGTGGCATTTATTCTGCTGAGCCATCTAGCACAATGCTGCTAGAGATCTGCATCCTGCTAGAATGTGCTTCACTTTGTCTGCTTGCCCCATTGAAGCTTGGGACGGGGCAACCTCCCTCCTTCCTGCTCCCTTTTCCCCTTACTGTACATTTGGCCTTTTCTTCCTCACCCTATTGATTACCTGTGACAGCAGATTGTCAAGGTTTTAGTTACCTGATCAGGTTGCTATCGTCTCTGTACTTGAGAAGCAACCTGATTCTGTGGGATTCTGGAGCTGGCCTTAAGCAAAAACACAAATGATAGAAAATCAGAGCACAAATAGAAACAAGAGCTTTTTTTTTCTCTAATTGATTATTGGAAATTTAAGCTCCTCACCAAATCAGATGAGTACCCATGTGCTCACCCCCAGTTTCATGGTCCCCAGCTCAGGGGGTTCTCTGTATGTGCTTGCTTCTCTGCAACACGGGAGTGACTTGGCAGCATGTTCAGGGTCCACCCTAATAGGTATAGATTGATTCTGAGGTAGCCAAGGGGAGAAGGCTGGGGCTCTTTTTGTTTCGAACATAGCAGGGCCAGAGCTGCCTGCTCACCCTTCCACACTAGGAAGCCACTCTGTTCTCCTGTGAACATGATCTTCTTCAGGATGTGAGTTCCTCTTGTCACTAGACTGTCCTGCTTTTCCATGTCTTGGGCTCTTTAAATAGACCTGGATTGCCTCTGCCCTTGGGTATTAAAAGGATAATTGTTACATTAATGATTTATTATAAAGTTCTCACACAGTTTAGAGCTTAACATTCATGTCATCCTGGCACTGTCATCTGTCAATTGTCTTTTCCACAGGAATTGAGATTCTTCTGGTTCTTCACATGCTGAGTAATTTTGAACTGTGTTTTGAGTATCAGGTCATGGGACTCTGAGTCTTGTCCAGTGCTAGGGAGAACACTGATATTTTGTTCTTTAATCTTTTATTGATTGATTGTGTGGAGGTCAGAGAACAACTTGATGGTTCTCTCCTTCTACCATGGGGATCCGATCCAAGGGGTTAAACTCGGCATCAGGCAAGCCCTTTTACCCAACCTAGCATCTCCTTGGTCCTAATGTATGTTTTGGGTTTTGCTGGCAATTGACACTGTGGGATTTAGGCTGAAAGTTCAAACAAGCATTCCAGGTTGGGGTTCTAGTGATAGTTTAGTTATCACAGTTTTCACCCTCTCTGGCCACACTGTGTCCAGCCTGTTTGGGTAGGGAGTGCCCCATTGCTCAGCTCTAGTCCGTGTGGGGCTGAGGAGCAGGTCCTGCAATTGAGTGCAGGTGCTCACGTACAACCTCTGAGTGCCCCTTTAGTCGCCTTCATTGTCCTTGGGCTCCCTATTTTCAGTTGTCTGGCCAGGAAGCTGCAGCTTTAGTTACCCCAGCCTGCTACCCTCTTCTCACCTGGGCCTATGCTGAAGTCACCTAGCGTCAAACTGGAAAAAACAACGGGCTATCCGCATCTGCTCAGACCACAGGCCTCAGAAAGGAAGATGTTGCCCTGAGTTTTAACTGCGGTAGGTTCAGGTCGCAGCCACAAGGTTGCTTGGGGCTAGAGTATAAGAAAATAGAGGACAGAAAAAGGGAATTTCCACCCATTCCGTGTGTTTCATTCTATTGATCCTTTGCTTTAAAAATAATAGTGGCCATCTTCTTCGGCAGCCCAGGAGCCTGTCAGCCTAATGGCCCTGCTGGGAAGTACATTCTGAGGTGGTGGCTCAGTGCCCATCATGCTAATGTGCCTGCTGTGTGTTTTGTGGGGTACAGGTTGAGTTCCCTGAAGCCCGGATCTATGAAGAGACGCTGAATATTTTGTTGTATGAGGCCCAGGATGGCCGGGGACCTGACAATGCACTCCTAGAAGCCACAGGTGGGGCAGCTGGACGCTCCCATCACCTGGACGAGGATGAAGAACGAGAGCGGGAGAGGATTGAGCGTGTGCGGCGGATTCACATTAAGCGGCCTGATGACCGGGCCCACCTCCACCAGTGAGCAGGCAAGCGGACCGAGCGGCCCTCCTGCTCCCTTGCCCCTATCCCCTTCAGATCCTCTGCAGGCTTCTGGGTGCCTTCTACTTCCCTGGAGTCTGGAGCTACTTTTGTAACAAGCCAGATGATTATTTTGATATTTCTTGACAAGGTGAATTGATTCTGTCTTGACCCAGGTGTATGTACCCTGTTTGAACAAGCTGTGTCTAAGGTCTCTACTTTTCGTAAGAATCTGAGAATCTGGAGCCAGGCTTTCTTGGTTCTTGGAGGAAAAGTATGAATGAGTTTGAAGTGTATATGAGAACTTCTGTTTGCAGTATTTATTTTTATGAGTGTTGACTACCTAGTAGGGCTTCTTAGGTGACACTCCCTTAAAGGTTCAGCTTGATGGTCCTGAGGCAAGCTGTGTAGTTGGCAGCCTGGCTCATAACCCTCTAGCTTTGGCCCGCTGGCTCGTGGTCCCTGTGTATTCTGACATGGCAGCCTCCACTGCTTTGCTGACGTCTGTTCTTATTGCGGTTTTGTGACTATAGCTTCTTGGTAAACAGTTACAACTTGTAGCAGTGGACACGGGACCAAATGTGCTTCCTTCCTGGAAGTGGTTCCTCAGTGTGGCAGATCTTTGCCATCTGGCCTAGTGCTTGCCGGGACTGTCTGGCAAGAGAGCAGAGCTTTGCCTGGCAGTGAGGCTCTGCTCTCATCCTGCATCCTTCCCTGACTCCTACCCCTTCCAGTTGCTCTTCTTATCAACCCACTCCATTCCAGGAAGGTCATCTGACACTTCGCAGGTGTTAGCTCACACATTGCTGCTCTAAGGGCTCTACTCCTGTGTGACCTCTTCCCTTTAAGCTGGACTTGCTTCAGCAATTGATGCCTTGTTCTTTGGTTAGAAATTATATGGCCCCAGGTGTGGCAGCACCAGGCAGGGACACAGCTAGGTCCAAGAGAGCTTGCCCATGTGCTCAGGGCAGTTTCCTTGCTGTAAACCCACTGTCACCTATGGATCCCTTAGATCTTTGATTACTATGCAGAATAGAGGGCAGTCAGTGAGCAGGTTGAGGGGACATGCAGATACCTTTGGGTCTTGTTTGCGTTCAAGGGACGTGTATGACTGTTGGTGGGGATGTGTGATTATGGGGCACGGGGGGCCCAAGATGGGGCCTGGCTGTGTGCACAGTGCTCATGTAGGACAATGTTCTCAGTTACCTACCTCAGTTTCCTCTGCACCTGTGCAGGAGCAGAAGTGACTTGTGACTGATGTGGGTGGTTGGAGTAGACTAGGTAGACTAGTTACAAGGAGATGTGAGTGTGTGTTGGGTAGTGGATGGATTTTCTGCTCGGCAAGGGAATTGTTACTGTTTTAGACCAAAGGTGTTAACATGAGCAGTTTCTGATACATGTATTCCAAAAAGACGAGTTGCTATTTTGTTTTTGTGACGGTTTTTACAGCTCAGACTTTGTATATGACAGTTTAGACCCTTCTTTTGTACTGCAGCAAAGCCCACAGTAAAATAATCACATAATCCTGACTGAACCTAAGAACTACATATTGGGTGGATGCTTTTTAAATCGTGTGGGAAACTTTTCTATTGAGTGATTTGGACTTTGTTAAGTGCCACAGAAAGGGAGCTTACAAAATAATGTTTCATAAAGTTTTTATACTGTTTGTTTTGAAGTATAAACCCCTGCTGTGTGGGTTCAGCTTTTTTAGGGAGCTAAAACGAATGCCCGTTCTGATGTTTTGTAGGAATGGAAAGCCATTATATCCATTGTTTTTTACATGTTGGTGTGGCACAGCCTGACTTGGCCTCGGCACCTACAATTACTGTTTTTGGCAGCTCTCTGCTTCCTCTTTTCTTCAACTCTGTAGTTTTGCACCTCTGCCCACAGGGATAGAAGAGGTCTGAAACATTCCATGTGAAAGATACTTTTGGCTACATCTGGCCAGAGCTCTGCTCTCAGCTTCCACAAGGAACTGACTCTATAGCACCAAGGGGAGTAGTCGGCATTTATATTGTGAACAATCAGGAAAAACGCTCGTCTTGGGTTTGGTAGAGTGAGGTTTTATTACTCTGTAATAGCTCACAATTAAAACAGAAAATAGAATGGCTTTTAGTTCATGGTAACCAAGGCCAGTGTTTTAGTCATGTGGTCATTGACTGGGGGCCTGTGCCTGCAGCAGGTCCTGGCACAGCCTCTCCTGTTGAGGATGGGCTGTTTGCTCTGTGCAGGTCCTGGTTCTATTTAGGTATCAACTCCTGTACCAGCTGCTCACAGCTGCCATTCAGCACCTGTGCACAAACAGCACTCGGCCCTTCCCGGAGCACGTGCTATCTGTGGGGCTCCATCCAAAGTCACTGTCACACAGTTAAAGCATGCCATTCACCTTCCTGTTTCTCTGCTCTATGAAAACAATGCTGGAGTTTTAGAAGTACTCATTGTTTCTATCTTATACAAGCATTTGTGGACATGTGTAAAATAAACGTTACACTGTGCTTCTTTCTGTTCACAGTTCTGTCTTCTGGTCTTTTGAAACATACCTCGCTCAGCAGAGTTACTCACTTGCAGCAAAGGGCGAGGCAGGCTTCTGCATGCTACTTTACCTAAAGTTGAGTCATTTTTCAGTAGTGTTTACACACCCAAAGGAAGTTGGGGGGCTTCTGAAAAGCAGAATGAATCAGCTGGTATTATCACGGATTGAGGTTGGGGACCCCACTCACCATCTGGGACCTAAAGAGTCTGCCAGGAACCTAACCAGTTACTGGAAGCCCTTAAGTTCCATTTACTCACAGCAAAATTCAAATTTTGCATTTTATAAAATTTCATTTACTTATTCTCAGACTAGAATATCTCTTTGTGCCTCAGGCAGCTTGACAAAGGTAGGAAATCTGGTGCCCACCCCCATAATCACATCTTGACCCCCATAATCACATCTTGATGTGTCTTAGTTTGGGTCCTTTGGGGGACATTTGGATGCTCCAGGTTGGCTCCCAGGAAATGTGACTGCAGTGGCACCTGGGCTGAGACTGAGGTCCAGCTCTGGCACAGTGATCCTTTCCCAAAGCCGCTGGCACAGTCCTTGAAGATGGGCTCACTGGGTCTAATCCATGCTTATCCAGTGCTTTCCTCAGTTGGAGCAAAAACAGTGACCACAGAAGTCAGGCGCTGTCCTCTATCAGGACTTCATCCGGACAGACACCTGGGGAGAGTCACACCTGGCTTTAGCGCCCTCAGCCCCCTTCCTCAGGAAGGAAGCAGTTGGCTACTGGATCACCAAGATGGGTGAGGATGAGCTGAGAAGCCAGCTCTGCCTCCTGAGGGAGCAGCCAGGCTTAGAGAGTGGCTGATGCCTGTTGGCATCATCAGCCTGAGGTGGTCACAGTTGAACTGTGTGGGGAGGCCTCTGGTGGAAACTTGAAGGTAGAACAGGTAAACTGACAGATCACCTACTTCACATTCAAAATGATCCTTCCTCTTACTTGTCCCTGAAGGGGGCCATTATGTTATGAAAGCCACCTCTGTGAACCATTTACATTTACCAGCCCATTTTATATAGAGGTAAGATATAATGTATAAATTAGAATGCACAGGAAATACTTTTGTTGTTGGCCCTGAACTCGGGATCTTCCTACCTCATCTGAGATTACGCCTTGGCCTTAGAATCATTTGTCTAAGGGTGGGACCTGAGCACATGGAGACAAGTTGTACTTCATCATTTAAGATGACAGGTATTTCATGTCAACTGCTGGCTCACTGACAAGCCACCCCACCCCTGGTCTAATTCAGTGTTTAAGTTCTTATTTATAGCCCCACTTTCTTCCTATCTTTGAGATGTAGAGATCAGGAATAGAAGAGAGAGATGAACTTGCTATTTAAGCCTGTATTCTCATCTGACACTCCCCCCCCCCGCCCTCCAGTGGATCCACTCACCACTGTTAACTGTCCGTTTTTATCTTTATAGACTTGTTCTTCTGGTCCAGTCTCAAAAACTATTGTGCCTTCTTTCCCAGGACTGATATAAAACTGTAAACTTCATATACATGCAGGCAATACATTCATACACATAAAATAAAAAATAAAATATTAAATACACAAAGTGAAAATTAGACATACTCTGTTTTTACCCCTCAGTCTTTAGTCTAGAAAAGAAACTCAGATATGAACTGATCATAGTTAATGATTAAATTCTCATTTTACCTTCCTTTTTTTAAAATATTTTTTTATAAAATTTGCTTGTGTATGAGTATTGCCTGCTTGCATGTAAGTGTACCCATGTCTGCAATGCCTGAGGAGGTCAGAAGAGGGCATCAGATCCCCTGGAACTGGAGTTACAGATGGTTATTAGCTGCCATGTGGGTGCTGGTATTCAAACTCAGGTCCTCTGTAAGAACAGCTTGTGCTCTCAACCACTGAGCCATTTCTCCAGTTCCTCATTTTGTATGTGTATGAATGATTTGCCTGCATGTATATAAGTGTACCACATGTGTGCGATGCCATCAGAGTCCAGAAGAGGGTTTCGGATCCTCTGGATCTAGAGTTGTACCTGCCATGTGGGTGCTGGGAACTGAGCCCAGGTCTCTGAAGAGAGCCAGTGCTCTTAACCACTGAGCTGTCTCTTCAGCCATGAATTCTCATTTTAGTACAGTGGAGAAAAATGTCCCCACAAGTGAGTAGTTGGTCTCAAGTTAGTTCTGTGATTCAGTTTTTTCAAAGCCTGTCTGTCTACAGAATGACCAACATTTCATGCGGAAACTCCCAGCGGCCTAAGGATTCCCTCTGAGTTCCAACAAAGCAGATATACTTTAAAAAGTACTCTCCTATATAATTCACCCATCAATCAGGCTGTAAAAACTGGGAGCAGAGGACAGTCCCCTCTCTAGTGGCCTGTTTGTACAGGGACTTGGATGTGGTACCAGTTGTACACAGGCTGTGAACAGGAATCAGGTGAGGGCTTCAGGACATAGTCTCACTGGCAGCCCTGTGCTCTGGTATGCTGGGTAACCTGAGCTCTGCTTGCCTTGCTCAGGAACTAGAACTGGAAGCAGCTGCCCTTGAGTTACTAAGGGAATAAAGAGTTATATATCCTTTGTGCTAGGTATTTTTCCTTTTTTACCCTAAATAAATTAGCCCCTTTCCTAGCCAATCCACAGGTGACCTTCAAAGCTGCACCAGGCTTCTAGATAACCATCCCACCAGACATCCACAGCAGAGCCAGAACTGTGCCCACTAGGGCATGATGGTCCAGCTTTTACTGGGTGACTGATGACGGGTCCCCTACGAACACCAGTGCCTCCTTTGAAAGCTGAGGAAGACAACGACCAAGTCCAAGGATGGAGAGAGGTTCTTTATGGATGAAGAGGCAAACAGAATCTCTGGAATTCCTCCCCCCAAACCCACTGGAGGACTCTTCTCCTGCTTTGGGGGAGGAGGCAGGTGGAAACCATACATGTGGCACCAGAAACCTGAGTAACGTCCCAACCTGAAGCCACCTACCTTCCATGAACAACACTGACAGTGTGCTCTTTCTTAGCCAGCATAGCAAGTTTAGTGACCACCTCAAATATGTGCTTACACTGTAGGATGGCATCCCCCTGTGGAGAGTCGACAGGGTGGGTTCAGGTTGAGCAGTGGGAAAGGACACAAACAGACTTCTAATCCTGAGGTTCTGCGGAGCTCCCGCCTAGCAGAGGGTGGGGGCAAGCAGAGGGTGGGGGCAGGCAGTTACCTTTTGCTGTCTGTCCTCTGGAAAAACATGAAGGACTAGGATTCCATCACTCAGGCTGCTGGTGGAGACGCCTTAAGACAGATCCAGAGCTCGACATTAATAAAGAAAACGGGCTGGGCCGGGGAGATAGTTCAGTGGGAGAAGTGCCTACCGCACAAGCATGAGGGCTTGAGTTGGACTCCCAAGCTCCCACATAAAAATGGGGTGCAGCAGCACGCTTCTGTAACCCAGCTTCAGGGAGTAGGGTAGAGGAAGCAGATCTCCAGAACACATTGGCCAGCAGTGTAGCCAAACCAGTAAGTGACTCAAAAAATAAGGTGGACTGCTGTGGAAGAAGATACCTGCTGCCAACCTCTGGCCTCCACACACACCCGTGTACCTGCATGCACACAGACACGCGCACACACAGACGGACAGATGGACGGATGAAATGGGCTCAGGTGACTCCCAGCCCCTTTGCCTTACTTCCTACTACCCTGGCCCAGACCTGGGAACCCTGGGCACTCCCCTTTTTTCCCTTTGTGGATTTCATCCTGACTGCCATGCCCAGCGGCTGGGTCAACCCCAGGAATGGTCTTGAGACTGCCCACTGCTTACCTCTGAGTGCTGAATATTCTATTTTCTGCTTGATTTTGGCAAGTTCTACCACATAAGCTGCTTTCTGAGTGAGGAGGAGTTGCCGCTGCCGCACCTTGAAGCCTTTCCTGTCGTACTTGAAGACGGGTACACTGTACTGCAAGGGGGCTCATGTCACCAGAGGGGAAGGCTACCTCATGGGAGGGCAGAGCATGGAACCTTGCCACTGGATTTCCTCAGATACTCAAGTTGCCTCAGATACACTTGAAATAGATGTTTGTTTTGGTTTTCTGTGCCCTGGCTCTGTGTGGAAGATTGTGATTTTCAGCTCTACCTTACTCTGATGCCCTCAGAAAGCTGAGGCTGTGGCTCCAGCCTCATGGGTCTATGCTGAGAGGGCGTGGAGAAGAAAGCACACATGATGTGGCTCCTGGGTCCTAGAGGAAATCTCCATCACGGACTTCTGGTCTCCTGAGAACCATGAAGCCGAGAACAGCCACCCAGCACCTGAGCCAGGCCTTGCTTGTCCCCTCAATTGCCTCACAATCCACAAAAGGTGGGAGGCACGGACAGCTTTAGTAACCTGCTTGGGGCCTTCTGGTCACTATGTTGAGAAGCCAGCATCAACACTGGCCATCAGTCCACTGCCTCTGACTGACATGGGGGTGTCTGGCTGTCTCTCAATTTCATAGAAAAGCAAACCAAAGCAGTTTTGAGGATGACAGAATGCAGGAACAGCAGTAGGCATACAATTGGCAAATACCACCCAAGTAATCTCAGTTAATGCCCCTAGTGGCAGTGGGGAGCCCTGGGGCACCCAGCTACACCCTGTGTATAAGCAGCACTTTCAGAAACTCACAGGGAAAACATGGCCTGCTCTCATACATAGAGGTTCTGGTGGAGCTGGGAAACACCATGGCAAGACTCTTTTGCATACAATTCATAGGAAACGGGTTTTAACACAAAATGCTTCTGTTCATTCATTTTCACTGTAGTAAACACATTGCTAGAACTACTGTTCTTTCTACAGGAAGCAAGCACTTAGATACACAAGTAACATATTTTTCTAAAGCAAAATGACTGACACTCATGGCAAGACTCTTTTGCATACAATTCGTAGGAAATGAATTGCCTTACCTGGATTTTCTCACTGCCGAGTAGTTGAAGCACTTTAGGATTAATGTCGCCTTCACCTAGCACATGAACCAGATGGGATCGTCACTAAATCCCAGCTCTGTGAGGAGGCCTGCTGCCTGCTGGGTCTGCACGTCCTCCCTACTGAGAAGCCTCAGCTGGAGGGAGACTCAAACATCTTCCCTTGACTTTTGTGGCACTGGAAACATACTTACCCAGCCGACTGTTGGCAAAGGGTTGGTTTAAGCTTTCTGCATAGCCTTCCTTCTTTCCCCTGAATATTTCACTTGTGACCACCTTTTGCTGCATCTGATAATATATAATTAAAAGCACAAAAATGGTAGCCCCGGGCTGTTGGGGATGGAGATTTAGACCCATGATTTTTTAGGCTTTGCTGGATGAGACATAGGAATCTTGTTATCCTTTAGTATACAAGTCAGTACATTCTGGTCAGCCAAAATACCCTAAATATTTACACTGGTGAAGAGTAAATTGGTTTCCTGCAGTGCAGCTTTTAAAACTTTAGTGAATGTTTGCCTTCTAAGTCAGAGTTCTGCAGACTGCTGTGCAGAGACCATGCACAGCCTGTTGCTTGTGTTTGTAAATAAAGTTTTATTGGGACATGGCCACACTTCATTTACATATCTGCTGCACTTTCTTCTATAGCAAGGGTGCCAAGAAACGACAACAGGGTCTAGGGCTCAGAAAGCCTCAGAGGTTGACTCTGCCGCACCTCACAGAAAAGACTGCACATCAGCATCTTCCAGCGGAAGCATCCTTGGCAGTGCGGGAACCATCTGGATTCTGTTCCCACAGTAATGACATAGGGATGCTGATTTTAGCAGCATCTGATGTTCCTCAATTTATCTGCAAGCCATGGGACTAGTGTGACCCTTGGTTCATAGATAGACTGGTGGATGTGGATTTTGGTACTAATAATCCCACTCTTAAGACTGGTCCCCACCACAACCCTTCAGATGTCGTGTGTCATTGATCCCTACCATGGCTTTCCACTCTGCTGAGACCCCGCAACAGTACTTCCGAACCAGGTTCCTCGTGCACATCTTCCTGAGCAGATCCGAAGCCTGTGTGGAGAGCATACTTCTTTCCCATCTGCCTCACTCTCTGTCTTGGGCTGTGGTGACCCAAACAGCAGCTTTTCAGACATAGTGGTATGGTTTAAGTACAGCACTGGCATTTTACAGTCAAAGCAAGCCTTCCAGTTACCCTCAAAAACTTCAGTATTACTAAACCAATGGCTCACCCACTTGATATCATTACATGTCACCAGAGGGGAGGCTTTAGAATGCAATTCCTATAGCGTCTGACCTAGTGGGCCCGAGGTGGAACCCAGGAATTTTACAGTAGCCACCAGTCTATATTCTAGAACATTCTTTGAGGAATCCTGTAGTAGTCACTTAACCTCAAGCACTGCTACATCAAAGATGGAAACCAAAGTGTTTCGTCACAGGGCACTTATTAAACACATGTAATCTCAATACAGGGAGGCTGAGATAGAAGACTACAAGTTCAAGGCCAGTCTTGGATTATACAGTAAGAGCTTGTCTTACAAAAATGAAAGCTAAGTTCTGGGGGCTGGAGAGATGAATCAGCAGTTAAGAGCACTGACTGCTCTTGCAGAGGACCCAAGTTTGGTTCCTAGCTCCCACACAGCGGCTAACCACTGTAATTCCAGTTCCAAGGTATATGATGCCCTCTTCTGACCGCTGCAGGCATTGTACAACATGGGTGCACTTACGTACATGCAGGCAATGCACTTATAAACATAAAAATAAATAGAATATTTTTTAAAAATTAAAGTTCTGTCTAAACAGATGCCTGTTGGCTTTTAGCTTTATAGTCCTACTGAGGGTATCATGAATTGTAGAGTTTCATTTTTTCTGTGACATCCTTGCAAAGAAGGGCTTTGCCAAGTAACCCTGTCAAGCCAAAGGAAAGTTGCTCAGGGAACACAAGTGGTAAGTGCCATCAGTGCCCAAGTCACCTGCAGCGACAGAGTCCTAAAGACTTACATTTTCCAAGATGCCTGGAGGCCTCAGCCAGCTCTTGTCCAGCACACTCTTCGGCACATGGTAGCGAAGATTCAAGATGTAATTCTTGCGTACAAATACTATAAACTCTTCATTGTCAGGACAGAGGGGCTTGCCTCGATTGATGAAGCCCTTGATGAACCTCAGAAGGAAAGGAACAGGTTGTTTGCAGGCTGCACAGGCCAGGAGCCATTAATGTAGCCCCCAGTGTGGGCTTTCACCCACACTGCTTTCTGTTTTAACTAGCTTGAATTAGTTGCCAATTAAAGAAAAAAAAAATGAAGCATTACACAAAAGCCAGACTCCAGCTTTCCTTGAAAAGCCATGCTGTCTGGCAGTGCTGTCTGGGCCTTTCTCCACAGTGACCAGGACTCTTGAAGTGGCCTGAGCTTCCTGGTTGAGTCACAAACAAACTGAGATGTGATTGTAGTGGGATTCAGGTGTTCAGAGCTGAATTCCCAGTAATGCTCCAAGAAGGAGATGTCCTTTCTGCACAAACCAGAAACCAAAGAAATGGGCCGGAGAGGTGGCTCAGTGGTTAAGAGCACTGGCTGCTATTGCAGAGGATCCAGGTTTGGTTCCCAGCACCCACATAGTAGCTAACAACCATCTGTAACTCCAGTTCTAGGGGATCCCACATCTTCCTTTGGCCTCCGCAGGCATTGCACACAAGTTATACACTTACATACATGCAGGCAAAACACTCATACACATAAAAAATAAATCATAGAAACTGGGGCTGAAAAGATGACTGTGTGATTAAGAGTGCTTGCTGCTCAATCATGAGGAACAGAGTTCAGATCTTAGGACCCACATAGGGAGGATTATATACCTGTAACTCCAGCCCCAGGGAATTCAATGCCCTCTTCTGGCCTATAAGACAGACAGACAGACAGACAGACAGACAGACAGACAGACACACACACACACACACACACACACACGTGCGCATATTTTTTTGAAAAATCAGAAATTCAAGCAAACTCACAACCTGCTTGGCCCCACAAGCCTGCTCCTGTGAGACCTCCCAGTCCTCTGCCTTACCTCCTTATGATCTGCACCGCCCACTTTCTCCTCTTGATTTCCTTCCGAGCCAAGGCTCCACGCCAGTGGGCTTCCAGCTTGGTGGCTGAAAGAGTCCACTGCTGGCATTAGAAGGCAGCACAGTCACAGTGAAATGCAGAAGGCTTTTCCAGAAGGGCACACCCCCTCAGCATGTGTCTGGATGCCCACTGGAGGACTATCAGGGCCAGAGGTATAAAATCAGGTGCATGCCATGCAGAGGCACACACACAACTGAGAATGTGCCTACTTTTCACTGTAGTTATCTAGCCCAGGGGCTGACTAATTGGTTTGAAGACCAGCTGCCTGTTTATATAAAACACAGTTGTTGCATACTGTCTAAAGCAACTTTTGTGCAATAATGACAGTTGAGTGGCTGTGGCCAACAAATCTGAAGTATTCCTAGCTTGCTGATGTTTGCCATAGAGGAATAGTATGCAGCTTTGAAAAGAAACAGATATACACATCTTGTGGTTGAATTTCAAAAGCAATTTAAAGTGTAAAATTGTGGCCACAAAATACTAACACATGCCAGATGGTAAATGGATTGTTTAATGATGTGTCCATAGACAGGAAAAACTATAAAGAAAAATAAGGGAAGATGATCCACAAAATTCAATGGAACTAAGAAAAATGGGAGAGGGCGGCGTGGCTTGAACATGTGATGCTAAGAAGCTTACAGTGACATGTAAAACTTTTTATAAGTACTCTTGGCCTGGAGAGATGGCTCAGTGGGCAAAAATGCTTGCTGTGCCATAAAAAGGACATAAAACATCAGGCATGGCAGCTCATGCATGTAACCCCAGTGCTGGGGTAGGAAGAGGTGGGAGGACCCCTGGGCTTGTTGGTCAGCAGTCTAGCCAACCAGTCAGCTCCAGGTTCAGTGAGAGACCCTTCCTCAAAAATACGGTGAAAAGCCAGGTGTGGTGGCACACGCTTTTAATCCCAGCACTCGTGAGGTAGAAGCAAGCAGATCTCTGTGAGAGTGGGACCAGCCTGGTCTACACAGTGAGTTCCAGGCCAGCTGGGGCTAGAGAGACACTATCTTAAAAAAACGAAAACCAGAGGGCTGGGGAGAGAGCTCAGTGGTTAAGGGCACTCACTGGCTGCTCTTGAAGAGGACTTGGGTTTAAGTCTCAGCACTCACATTGTGGCTAACAACCATCCATAACTCCAGTTCCAAGGGAATCCAATGCCCTCTTCTGACTTCCACAGGCACTGCACGACAAGGGTGCGCTTATATACATGCAGGCAGTCCACTCACACTCAAAAAATAAAAATAAAAAATATTTCAAAGGAAAACCAAATAAAAATAGTGAAGAGTGATAAAGGAGACCACCGCATGTTGGTCTAACCTCCACCTGTGCACACATGGGCATGCGCACCTGCACATGTACACACATGCACATATTATTTACATGCAGATAAATAAGGCATGCATGTAGAACAGCTGCAGGCCACTATGCTGTGGTCTTAGAACTAGGCCCAAGGCAGCCCCCGCCCAGGGTTCAAGGCTGGGGTGGGCAGAGAGGGAGAGGGCCCAGTACAGACCAACCTGCTTCTGTTCAGTCCTTACCTGCTTGCCTCTTCCTCACATATTCTCTCCTCCCTAGGCAGCCTCGGTATGTGGCTTGGATTCTTGCAACTTAAAATGAAGCAAAGTTTTAGTAAATTGGTTTTCACATCTTTGGAATCATGATTTCCTGAAGCAGGATCTCCAAAAGGGCCCTCAAGGGCCTACAGGGTAGCCATGACTCGGGGAGTTAATTGAGCCCTAGGGGGACAAGAGCCACGGGTTCCAGTAGGCCTGGCTCCCTGGCTGCACATTCTCTTGTCTTTTCCAGGATGAGTTAGAGACGCAGAGGGAAGAGTACCCACTTCTTTCCTCACTTTGCAACTCTCCTCGCACCTGATGCAGAGGGCAGGCCACCAGTATGTCTCAAAAACAGGAGTGTGGGCTCAGCTGGAGTTGCACAAGACCTTAAGACAACTCCACCACTGAGGAACATGAACCCCTGCACACCCCACAGTTCTAGCCTTTGCCCCCCTCCACACAGTGCCCAAGGTCAAGAACACAGAGGGCCTTGCCCATTGGCAACAGCACATCCTCTGGAAAGAGGGACTGATGCAAGCAGCTGCAGCTCAGCCAGGTGGGTGACTGTTGGTGCCTGCTGCTGGAGAGGTCAAAAAATAGGAACACTGGGCTGGGGACATGGCTCTTAGCACGCTTACCTAACCTCTGCAAGGCCCTGGGTTCCATCCCCAGCATCATCAAGTATGGAGGTAATAGGCCCAAGTTGAAGCCTGGCCTCTGCTGCTGACTAGCTGTGTTCAGCAGCTTACCAGCATCTCTGTGTCTCAGTTTCCCTGATCATGAAGCAGAGGTGCCAATACCTACTGCATAGTTTTGTTGTGAGAATAAGATTGTGTTTTAAGTGTAGCTGGCACAGAGCAAGTACTCCAGATGCCTCATGTGAATAGTCCTTAGGCCACCTTTTAAAGTCCAGGACCTCATCTCCCATCCAACTCCTAACACTTGCTGCTCACAAAAACACTCTGGCTGCAGGCTTTGAATGTGCACCTGCTGACATCATATATCCAAATGAGGTTGCAAAGCCCCTGAACATGGTTAACACTCATGTGTCTAACAGAATTAGAGGACCCCCAGGTGTGTAAGTTCCTGATGCCTGAGCTTGTCCTCTGAGTACTCATTCGAGACTTCAGTTCACAGGCATCCCATCATAATCCCATTCCTGCTTTGAATACATCAGACACATTTGAGATTTTTTTCTTCCCCAGCTAAACCTGTTCATTTTCTTGAAATCAAGACAAAAGAAAATCATACCTAATTGATGTTTACTAAATTCAAAAGCATCTTCAGTAGCAAACAGAGTTCTGGGGAAACGAATGAATATTTTGGTTCTAGAAGTGAAAAGAAGTTAAATTATTGGTCAGTTTCTACCTGTGGTGGCTGAATAGTTCCCTGCCTCCAATGAATGTCCAATCAGAACCTCAGAATGTGGCAGATATGACTAAAGTAAGGGGGGACGGACACTGGATTATGGTAGCTCCTAAATCCAGTGACAGTATCCTTCTAAGACACAGGAAAGGACACAGGTAGACACAGGGAACCAAGCCTCATGAAAACTGCAGGTCAGAGGAGCACCAGCAGCCAAGGAAGGTCAGAGCCCACAGAAGCTTTGAGAGGTGGAGACAGACTGGCCTCCCACACCTTGATACTGGACTTGTAGCTGCTTGATTGTGAAATGAATTTCTGATCTGGTGACTTGTGTATCCCCAGGGAGAAAATCCATCACACTAACTTGAAGTTGTTTCCGGTTAAGCTCTTGGGCTTCCAGGAGGAATGCTGGTAATACCAGCGTACGGTTTAGAAGACCCCACTCACCAACTCCCACCTACACAGAACCTTGTACGAGATGCTTCCCAGAGTGGCCACTAGGGGGCAGCAACATGCCATGCCCAAGATCCTACTTCCCTTTCCAAGAGTTATGGAGTAGGTAGGTGTACACTTGCTCAGGAATATGGATGAAATAAGTAATGGAGCTAAAAAAAGAGAGGCTCAGTCTGGGTCTGAGGCTGGGTAGGGATCAGGGGGTCCTGCTTTTTGAGAACAGGTCCTCTTGAGACTTGGGCACTGTTCCTTGCAACCAAACTGGTCCTGACCAAAATGACTAATGGCACAGACCCAAGACAACTTGGTTCAGCCTGGTGCCTGAAAGCTTCCAACACGTGGGAAAATTTTCTGCTGAGTACTGCACCCCAATATAATGGTACCTGACATTCCAGAACATTAGTTTGGAATGTTCAATGAATGTTCTTCATTGTGCAGGCCGAGGGTCGGCCCTCTGCTCTAAAGCAGAGCCAGCTTTAGAACCAGGACTTCTCGGAGCCCACTGATTTTCATTCTAACCACTGACAGCTGCCTTTAAACTGAGCAGATGGAAAAATTGACTTGCAAACTTTCCTACGTCCCTAAAAAATGAGGCTGTTTCAGGCACAGCCAACCCTCGGGCTGCATGTAGTCACAGACAGCCATGGATGTGGCCCAACACAAAGTCACAAACTTACTTAGAACGTTATGAGATTTGTTTTGGAGTTTTTGCAACTCAACTGCACAGTTGTCAAATCTGAACTTTTTAGATAACAACGCTGTGCCTCCATGTCAAAGGCTGAACACGCTCCGTGCAGGTCAATGTGTGGAATCTATTGAGAACAGGGAGGAGAGTGTTGGGTGTTCCCTGGCCACTTACTTTCCCAACTTGTACTCCTCGGGCTTGTAGCCGATGTACTTGATCAGCCGTTCTACACCTTCTCCTGGGGGCCCATGCCAGTGCGGCCAGGTATCTGGACACAAGGACTTGTACCTGCCGGCAATGGAGAGGGACATGTGGAAGCCATCAGGGCACCTTATGCCCCTCTCCCCCAGGTCTCATGAGCCCTCCCCCCCAGTGACTCTCAGCCTCTCACAATGCAGCAATATCATCAGTGCTCCACCCTGGAAGAGAAAGAAGCAAAACACTGTCGGAAGGGGGGAGGTCTGCTCCCTGTTGATAGAACAGTGATACCACTAGACACTTAGCCCCACTCCTGGGTATAGACCCAAGAGATACAAGCCTGCATCCACACAGACTTGTGCAGTATTGTTCTTAACAGCCAAGGTGGGGGAGGGGGGGTGACAGCCCCACTGTCCAGAGACTGTGCTGCTACACCAGAGGAAAAAAGTGCCATGTATGTGGTGTGCATGTACGCATGCTTGCATATGTGTGGCTGCACATATGTGTGTATGGAGGTCAGAGGTTGACACTGGGTGACTGTCTTGATTGTTCTCCACTTTATTTTATTTATTTGTATTTTTTATGTATATGAGTGTATTGCCTGCATGTATATAAGTGCACCCGTGTCATGCAATGCCCAAGGAGGACAGAAGAGTGCGTCAGATCCCCTGGAACTGGAGTTATGGATGGTTTGCTAGCTGCCATGTGGGTGCTGGGATTTGAACCTGGGTCTCCCGCAAGAACAGCCAGTGCTCTTAACCACTGAACTGTCTCTTCAGCCCCTTATTTTTCTTTAATTTTTTTGATTTATTTATTTTATGTGTATGAATGTTTTGCCTGCATGTATGTAAGTGCACCTGCATGTACAATGTCTACAGAGGTCAGAAGAGAGCATCAGATCCCCTGGACTGGAGTTTTGGGTGGTTGTTAACTGCCATGTGGGTGCTGGGAACTGAACTCAGGTCATCTGGAAGAATAGCTCTTAACTGCTGAGCCATCTCTCCAGCCCCCTCCAGCTAATGTGTTTTAGTCATGGTCTCTCCTGAACCCAGAGCTCACCAATGGCTAGTGTGGCCAGCAAGCTCACCCAGAGATCCCCTGTCTTTCCTTCCTGAGTGCTGAGCTTATAAGCAGGCTATCATGCCCACCTGGCATTTATGGGTGCTGAAGATCCAAACCCCGATCCTTACGCTTGGACAGCAAATACTTTATCCTCTGAGCTACCTCCCCAGCCCTGAAAGAATTCTTTAAGGGAAATTTTGGCTCCAGTGTTGGCTTAACCTGATTGATGCATCTCCTTCTAATAAAGACCTACTGTAAAGTCAGCCATGACCCCTTACCTGATGAGGGAGCCCTGGCACGCTTTCCCCTCACACAAATTTATCTTCCACTGTGTCTCCACTTGGCCTCATATGTCCATTATTGCTTATGTCTCCCCACCAAAGTAAGTTGCACAAGGGCAGAGAGGGGTTGCACCAGCCCCCAGGATAGTGCTGTCTCGAGAGCCACTCACAGGTACCCAAGGGGGGAATGGGGGCATCCCTGGGATGCCATGGGAGTTGAACAAAAGTGTTAGAAATTCAAAAGCTGCAGGATGACAGAAGCATCAGTGGATACCTTATTCATTCAGTGGATACCTTATTCATTCAGTGGATACCTTATTCAGATTCAGAAAAACAGGAAGATAAGCATTAATCAATGACAAGGAAATGGAGGCCACTGGAGGCGCAGCTGAAAAAAGAAAGAAAAAGAAAACCCGGGAAACGTTCTGGCAGTTTCTAAAATGCTTCAACTCAGAAGCCTGATAACGGGTTGAACAGTTGAAACAGCTGATGATGCAAGCTTTCTGACTTCCCAAAGTGGCCATTTTAGGGTTTTCACCCCCAAAATGCATCGCCATCTCAGCAACTCTGTCACGTGTTGCCACTCACCAAAGACGCAACTGGGGGCAAGGCGTTAAACCTTTATGAACTCCTGACAGTTTAACCCTTGCTATGAGTAAGGAAACAGGTCACAGCTGTAGGACTCGGGCAGGTTCTGACCTAAGCCTGGATGCTGTGAAGCCGGTGCCCCTACCACTGCCCGCTGCCCTTGACAGCCCAGGGCCAGAGCCCTACACTGGTCCCGGATGGACAGCCTCGCCCTTCTCAGACGGCAGGAAGTTAGGGCTCCATGAACTCAACAGAAGATGGGAAACTGAGCCAGGCTTTTACATGGGCCCAAATGTTAGTGTCCCTTGTTTTCATGGTTCCTGAGCTCAGTTCCCTTGGGAATGCCGTTTTACTGATCACCCTGTCACTGGATTTCATACATGGTGGATGACTGATTTCAAGGGCTTGGCTCAACAAAGCAAACCGCACCGTTGCAGGAAATGTTCATACTTCCGCCGGTAGGCGAAGCCAGCCCGCCTCACTCGCAGGTGCTCCATCAGCCCCAGGTACTTGATCTGGTGTCGTATGAGGAAGTCGTCAAACTTGCCTGTGGGGAGACGGAAGGGTGAGGGGAGAGGTCCTTGCGACTCCACTTAGCGCACAGACCAAGACTGCTGCTCCACTGGCTGAGTCCAGTCACTCGAATCTTTATGAGCTCAGTTATGGAGGAATTTGGGAGGAAATTCTAGTTTCTCTTGAAAAAAGAGTCATGAGGTCCAGTGATGTGGGGCCCAGAGTCCCATGTGGCAAAACTGGCCAGAAAGGCTTTAAAGGCCTTAGGGAACCTGTCCAGGCCCCTCCACTCTCTCGACTTATACCTGGTCTGTTCACACATATACTACATGCCTGATCTCTGCTCTGCTTTCTGATGGAGCACAGAAAAGCTTAGAAAGTACTGGAGGTACACACCATTTTGGCAGATTGTTTGTATCTGCAGAGAACAATCCTGTCACCTATCTGGCTGATTCCTGCGGCTCTGACACCTGGCTGTCTTGGCAGTGTCATTTCTGTAACTTACCAGGCTTTGAGCTGCGGTTCCTCCGGATCACCAGAGGGGGCCCTCTTGCAAGGCATTTACTATTAACCTTTTTTTCTTTGCTGTTTTTAATCTGTGTTTGTGTATGTACACACGTGTACATACATGTGTGGAGGTCAGGGGACAACCTTAGGTGTTAGTCTTCACCTTCCATATTTTTTAAGACAGTCTTGTTTGCCACTGTGTACACTAGACTAGCCCACAAACTTCCAGAGATTCTCCTGTCTCTACCTCTCATTTTGCCTTAGGAACACTCAGATTACACACACACACACACACACACACACACACACACACACACACACACACTACAGCTCTGTGTGGGTGCTGGGATCCAAACTCAGGTCCTTGTGCTTGCATGGCAAAAGTTTTACACACTGAGACATCTCCCCAGCCCCTCCTATTGTGTAACAAAGGAGAACAGTTTACGTGCCAGGATGAGGCTGTGGTGGCCTGAGGCTCTTAACCAGCCACCCTGCTTTGCCTCCAGCCTCCCCTGAGCTCAGGGCTCGGCACTGGGCAACTCACTAGGCTCTTTCCTCTCGTTGGGCTTGATGCAGCGGATGTACGAAGGCTCCTTGGAGATGAGAATTTCTAGGAGGCTGCTCAGGCTGTTCTTGAACTGAGTCCCTACCTGTGGGACAAGAGAACACACCGTAGACACTGCTGCTGCTTCCGCTGACCTCAGAGGAGACAGAATGAAGCCCCAACCCCCTAGGCCTGAACTCCACTAGACTCTGGATGTCCAGACCCGAGAAGCCCAGGGTTGGTCCAAGGTCAGTTCCAACTGGCTTGGAAATTGCTGAGGCCACGGGAGACTCACAGAATTGTCCTGAAACAACAGAGCCACCTGCTTCTTGGGCACTTGGAGGACATTCCTAGCTAAAGAAAGTGGGATGAAGCACAAAGAAACGTGTGGAGAGGGACTGGGGCTGTTGCTCAGTGGTAGGTGCCTGCCTAGCAAGCACAAGACCCCAGGCTCCAGACCGAGCATCAAATGAGCAAGCATCTGTCCAGGCACTTTGCTCAATGAGCGAGGTCCCAGTGTTATGACTGCGTTCTGAAATGTCACTCAAAGGCTTGCCTCCTCCCACTCCACCCACAAATAGCAGTGTTCATGGTGGCTGGATGAAGAGGCTGCTGATCCTCGTGGACGGAGGAATCATTGATAGATTCAGGGCTCCATGGAGCTGGGGTGGGTGGATTCTTTAGGAGGTGGGGGTCTCTGTGGTTGTGCCTTGAAGTGTGTATTTTATCCCCAGTCCCTTGTGTATGCTACACATGTCTTCTCTGCCATGATGCCACCAGTGAAAATGGGACCAAGTGACTATGGAGTAAAACCTCTGAAACTGTGACCCAGATCCACCTTTACACTGTGTTCCTCTGGGATTTCTGTCACAGTGACAGAAAGCTGACTGATATACAGAGAACACCTTATAGGAGCCAGACTGTCCTTAGCTTCAGCCCTTTCTGTCTCTTCCCCATGGTTTTCTTCACGACAGTTGTGCAATGATAAATTCCTTATCTATTTGATGATATTCTGTGTACCTTTTCCCACAAGACTGTAAGTTCCTGGAGGCCAGGGGCCCTGGCTGACTTGTTACTGCTAACTTCCTGAGCTCAGTACAGTGCCTGCACAGCAGGTGTTCAATAAATATATGTAAAAGAATGAATTGATAGAAGGCTTAAGAAATGCATATCTCAGGCTGGAGAGATGACTGCTCTTGCAAAGGACCTGGTTTGATTCCCAGCACCCACATGGCAGCTAACAACCATCTGTAAGTCCAATTTCAGGGGATCTGATGCCTTCTTCTGACCTCTGCAGGCATTGCATGACATGGGTGCACTTACATGCACACAGGCAATACACTTATACACATAAAATAATAAAATATTTTTAAAATAAGTGCATACCTCATAGTATCTGTTAGAAAAGGAAGCTTCCAGAAGAGAGGGAAGGGTGGCTTCAACAGGGTAAGTAACTATAGGTTATTGTACCCACCTGTATGACTTTTGTCCCTTTCCTAGTCTACACCAGCTTTTCCCCTGCTCACCGTTGGCGGCCTCCTCCAGTTCTCCAGCTCCGCTACCAGGAAGCACTCCCTCAGGATGCTGTTCTTGGACCTGCACAGCACCTGCATGTTGAAGAGGACCCGGCATTGTATTCGCTGCTTTGGGAATCCCTAGAGGCCTTTAGGAAACTCACGGAAGTGTGTGAGACAACAGAGCCTCCTGCTTCATGGGCACCTGAAGACCCTCTTAACTAAAAGGGAGTGGGGAAAAGCACGAAGAAATGGAGAGGGGCCGGGGCTGTTACTCAAGCAGAATGCTTGCCTGGTATACATGAAACCCCAAGTTCCACATTCAGCACTGCAAAAGAAAACACATAGGTGTTCGGAACCACAGCCCTTGCTTTGTGTGCTTGCTGAGGTGGCTTATTTTCTCTCTGACATGATGAGGCAAGAGTTGTGCCCAGGCCAGCTCAGCTGCTACTGAGCGATCCCCAGAGGACAGCAGGAAGAAACACAAGGTGCAAAACCTACAAGCCATGCGCATTGCGGTGTAGAGAGAGGAAGAGGCATGAGGGGGATGCTGGTGTGACTCAGTCGCCATCTTCGGAGGGGGACTCAGTAAACGGGCAAGACTGGTTGGCTCTTGGGAGACAGACAGGTGACATGCAGCCAAGAACACTAGGTTTTATATTATTTGGTCCCCACTTCACCTGCATATTTTCAAAATAACC